ATAAAGAGAATATAACATCGAAACAGAAAATGAATTAGAAGTGTACAAAAAATATTTTTTAATGCTGTTGATGTTAGTCGGAAACAATTATTGTGTTTTTGCTCTTGTACAAAAATCGGTCGTCTAATTAGCCCGTTTTTATACACATAAAAAATTAAAAATAAATTAAGATCGGAATTTTTAAATAACGTACAAATGCGTATCTAAAACTTTTTGTGAAGCCATTTTGATACCAAATTACAGTATCACAGTCAAGTAAATATCCTAAGTAGCATAAATTATTTGATAATTTACTTATGTTACTAATTAAAGCTCTTAAAGAACTAATTAATCAAGCAACACTTTTAAAATATTCAAATTACTTTATTTCATTTTATTTTATTCTTATTGCTGTAATGAAAAGTTAAATTATCTCAGATTTAATGGTGACATAAAAATCTCCTGTTCCCATTTAAATAAAAAAAATAAAAGTAAAGTTTCTCAAACTGTTCCTTTCTGACACTTTTTTCCCTTAAAATTTTAACCCGCCCTTGAAAATTAGGAAGCTGGGTTGAGTCTTCTTTACACATTGATGACCCATCCAACTCGAGCATCTCCAACTGCTCATCCAACTGGGGTCTCGGAACGCGAGCTCTTTTTGTCTCTGGCTATCTCTTCAGGTGCGGGAACTTTCTTCTGGATTCATTGTATATATTGGAATTTTTTTTATTTTTTTTAAAATTTTTATCGCTTTATGCTACTTAGGTTAAAAAATTTCTTGATGGAAGAGCATTCTCTAAGAATGCAAGACAAAGATGTCCGCATAGTTTCAAGTCCTATCTGGGACGGGCCATAGATCGTGACTATCTCATCCTTTGCCGGGCTTTGTGGGCCGCTACTAGGAGACCAGGAACCATTTGAATTCATAGATTGTCGATATTGGCTGCTTCTCTTGTTCTCCAAGTTTTTTCCTCTCTATGTTTGTTCTCTATATGCAGGGGTCTGTCCAGACATTTTGTGAAAGGTCCGTTTTTCGTGAAATTGTGAAAAATTACTCACATTCTTTCAACCAGGATCCGCTTTTATGAATTTGTGCAAATAGGGTCCGTTATTGCAAAAAAAAAACTTTTTCAAGGAGTTTTTAAATTGTAAAGACATACAAGATTATGCTCAACACTGTAAAATTATAATTAAAAAAAATTAAAATTTTAAGAAATAAACAACTATTGCTGCTTCTAAATTAGAGATGCAACATACAAATATTTGGTATTTAGCCTATACTGCTGAACGCAGAATATTAATTTCGGACGAATAATGGAAGAATCGTCTGCCGAAGACAAAACTTAATTCGTTTACATCCATCTTTCTTGTTTTCTGCCCTGGAAAGGGTTTATTCGATTAAAAAAAAATCTTTTTGTGAAGGGTCCGTTTTTAAGTTAAAATATTCTGTGACGGGTCCGTTTTTATAAAAAGATATTTTGTGAAGAGTCCGTTAACGGACCCAAATTTCTTCTAAACAGACCCCTGATATGGTTCATAGTATTTATGGCTGTAGTTGTCTTTTAATCTTGCCACTAGAAATAAATAAAAAATAATAGTTATAATTAAAGAGAAAGATAATTCAAAAAGGCTTTTTTAGTTGTTTTTTATGATGTTATTCTTCAAACCTTTTCAGAAAAGCGTTAAAAAAATTTAATTATTTGTTCGAGACTTTGAAAAAATTATGCACGTTAGAAGGAAAAAGCAATTCTCAAAAAACTTGATCCTAAAAAGTTTGCCCTAAATACAGATTTATTTCAAGTTTTATTTAGGTGTTCTATGTGCGAACTTTTGGTCATAGACAGGAAAATCACAAAACATACATCAATGCAAAAGTTCAGTTATTACTAGAAAACAAGGTTTTTTACATAGCCCCACTAAAAGAAAAAAGTGCTACTAGAAAAAATCATGCATGCTATTAAAATCGTCAATGCATAAAGCGTATATAAATGAATTGTACCTCCAAACTAAAATTGAACTGAAATAACCTTTAAAATAAATACTTTTGTATAGCAATTATTTTAAGGCAATGTATTACCATTACGATAGAATACCATGTTTTTTTATTTTGTTTTTTTATCGTACTCTGCTCATTAATCCTATTAGGATTTTAGATTAAAATAAAGAATATATCTGTGTTTTAAAACTGCAATAACATTCCTTTTTAATCACGTGTAAACAATCCGTGAAGAAGGAAGTTAATTTGTTTAACCTCCATTAATAATTATTTTCATTTTGCAAAAACAACTCTATTTTTAATTACTTAGACCTCCTAATTAATTAATAAATTTGGTTTTAACTTTCTAATTCTTACCCAATCCTTACTTTCTCATTCTCACCCTACGATTAGATTTTATCGCTAATTTCGACCGAAACATTCTGCATAAATTATTCAGTTTCTGTTCTTCTAACGCAAGTTCTTACGTAAGTTTCTTTCAGGGACAGTTTTATTGTATGAGAAACGAGATTTATTATTGATCGCTCTTTTTCTTTTTTCTTAATATTGAAGTTCTGTACCACATTATCTAGACATTTATCGTTACAAAATGAAATTCTATCTTTTTAACGCCCAGTAGATTGCGTCATGTCATATGTTATTCACTTGATTAAAATAATAGCATTTTTGTTCTCTAGCTAACATTTCCTTTTCTATAACGATTCTTTCAATTGTGTGTTTATGCTTTTTTTTTTTTTCCTATTATGTTTTCATTTTTTTTTNTTTTTTTTTTTTTTTTTTTTTTTTTTTTTTTTTTTTTTTTTTTTTCCTTCTTAAAGGTTGAGTATAAATCTTATTTAAAAATGCAGCAAAAAAAATTTTTATACATATAAACATTTCAAAAAGCATTTTTTTTTTCTTTTCTGAAATTGAGTGGGAACCCTGATAAATTAGTATTTTTATTGAATATAAGGGAGAACTGGGTTAACCTGGTATGATCAGGGAATTTTATCTTGACCCCTTAAAAAGTAGAGAATACTCAGGGAAAATTTAAATTTTTTGCAAAAACTTGGAAAATTCCTGTATCATACCTGGAAAATAACCAGTTTCAGATTCGTCAATAATACTAATCAGTTATTGAGTTATATTCTGAATAATAGTTAAATAATTCTAGCATGAATTACTAATATTTGTTGCAAAAATATCATATTTTAGTGAAACTTTCGTGCTTTTATCCTTATTCGTTTTTTTTTTTTTTTTTTTTTTTTTTTTTTTTTTTTTTTTTTTTTTTTTTTTTTTTTTTTTTNTTTTTATTTTTTTTTTTTTTTTTTTTTTTTTTTTTTTTTTTTTATTGAAATTGAGTTGGGAACCCTGATAAATTAGTTATTTTTATTGAATTATTCTTTGTAACGTTTCATAATTCAAAATGTTTTCTCGCTTCCAAATATAAATTAAAATTGAAAAATTGTTTTTTTATTATTATTATTATTTTAATAATATTATTAATATAGGTAGCTTCTTTCTTCGAAATTCGAATTCAAAATCCGACAAATTAAATAAAGGTGATTTGAATTATCTAATCAGTGGTTCAAATTAAATGATCGGAATTGCTACACTAAAGTCAATATTAAAAACGACAATAACGAATTCTGTTTTCTCAGCAATACGCGTAGAAACACTTATCGTTTTTTGCTCTTTAAGAAAAAATAAACTACACACATAATTCAAACTTTCTTTCATTCAATTAATAAAGAGGATTATTTATTATTCCGTATTAGGAAATTTTTTATTGCGTTTCACTTAATCAAATTACTGTCCGTTGACAGGAACAACTTTAAATCAATTTTGATATCTCTAATTTTCGTTATAAAATTATTTTTAAATTAGAGATATCAAAATTGATTTAAATTTGTTCCTGTCAACGGACAGTAATTTGATTAAGTGATCTGAATCTTGTTACCTGGATCTCCGACTTGAATCAGTTTCAAGATGATGAGTCGTCAATTCAATTAATTACTGAATCACTAAAGCAATTCAGTAATTACTTGAATCACCTAATCAGTTACCAACACTACTTTTAAGAAGAAGAAAAAAAATTGAGGTTTTATAGCGAATTTTTTACTGTTTGGAGAAGTCACTGAACGTAAATTTCATCCCAGTAAAAACTATATATATATAAATTCATATTCATCTTAGCTTGCATCCAATTTAATTATACAATTTTCCTGGGTGGGAAGAAAATTTTTTTGAATTTTCAAAGTTTGAAAAAGTGACTAATTTATCTAGAACTTTTTCACCTCATTTTATCATATTTTGTGTATAAAATATTCTATGGGGAAAAGACTTGTATCCAAATTTAAATCAATTATTTAAAATTCCTATTCCTTAACTTTATTTATATTTATTTTATTATTATTTTGTTTTTAATCACTAGAAACATGAAAATAATCATTCTTATTTCTACAATGTAACTTGTCTCTAGATTATAAATAACGTGTGTTAAGACTTTTTAATTTTGTAACTGTAAGTCTTTTTATTTGCTACATTCTATTTAATAAATGAAAATAAAAACTGGAATTAAAGTGGTACATTTAATTAGAACTAAATTCTTCTTAATTAGTGCATGCTGTTGGTTTCTTATTCTCAAGTGATGCATTTAATTTAAGGTTAATAAATATAAATAGATAAATTTTTTTTCAGTGGTTCCTTATTCTAAGTTGACTAGTATTAAATGTATGCACTAGGCAAACTCTAAAATGTATGCACTAGGAATTGCTGTTAAAAACTTATTGAATCTCCAGAGTCTCCAAATTCTTCAAATCTCAATATAGTCTTTTTTTATGAAATTATTGTAGTTTGAAAAAAATTAATGTAAATATCAATTAAATTAACTATTTTTTATTTATTTATTTGTCATTGACAACTGATATTTATTTCTTTTTCAGTCCTATTATTTCTAATATTAATTTTAATTTTTAAATTTAAGTCATTATAGTGTAGTAAAATAGCATTAAATTACAATCATTTATTTATTCATTCATTTTAGGAATTTGCTACTTTAACAAAAGAATTAAATCAATCAAGAGAACATTTATTAGAAAAGGAAGAAGAAATTCAAGAGCTCAAAGCGGAACGAAACAATACTAGGGTAAGTTAAAAGAAATAGGTTTTTTTATATTGTACTTACAAACTAATTTCATAAATTATTTGAATTAATCTACAATATTTCTCCCATTACAATGTATGAATTTATAATCTTTGCTGTTAAAGATATGTTTAAAAAATTAAATTAAAGCATATTTGATCATAATTAAATTACCAACTTCTAATAGTAATTAATAATTCAGTAATACTATTTCGTTAAAAAATTTCATAATATTCCATAAAATAATTTTACTTTTATATTATTAAAAGCATTGACTAAATAATTATTTGTTTACAGAGAACAATGAATGAAGTTCATTGAAATAAATCACATACTTAGTTCTTTAGATTAATGTAAACTTTAACTTTTTTTTTTTTTAATTACAATGGTTATTTGATAGTTGCTTTTGGAACATTTGGAGTGCCTTGTTTCACGTCATGAACGTTCTTTGAGAATGACTGTTGTCAAAAGGCAAGCCCAGTCCCCTGCTGGGGTGTCTTCTGAAGTTGAAGTTCTAAAAGCTCTAAAATCTCTATTTGAACATCATAAAGCTTTAGATGAAAAGGTAAGGATTTAAGTCAAGCTTCTTTTAAAAATAAATAAATCTTAAATTTTTTTCCACTTAAATTATTTAAATAAAAATTCAAGTCTTCTACTTTTATAAATGTATGTTTGCATATTTCTTTTCTATTTTTTTCTTGTGTGTAATTTGTCAAGAAGTTAATTTAGAGTTAAATATTCTAATTTAATTTTAACTTTTTTGAAATAAATATAATAATTAATAAAACAATTCTTGTAAGAGCAAAACCTGAAATATTTATTTTGGACATGCTTCAACTCATTATATTGTTGACTGTATATGTCCATTATATGCATTTAACTTAGACAGTAAATAGTATAGTCTTAGATAAAACCACTAACAGAAAAAAACTGTTATGCCTGTCTGCTAAAATAATGGAACAATTTTTTTAGAAAAATAAAAACATTAAATGCAGCATCTTTATGTATTAAAGCTAGATTTTAAATATATATATTTAAATTGTTAAAATTTTTAACAATTTTGAAGAACAACATTTTTTAAAGCTTTGAATTAATAAAAAAGTTGAATATGCAAAAATGACACAAGTAAAAATTAATCCTTACAACAACATTAACAAAACAAAAGGTTAAGTTTGAAGTTAACCTTACAAAAAGTTAAGTTTGATCAATGAACAACATTTCTGACTGATCTCTATTGATAAAACATCTCTCTCTTTAATTCTTAAGCATCCTGAAAACTAAAATATAACTCTAATATAAATTAATAAGCATAATTAAAACAAAAATATGGAATAGCTTATGTGTTCATACAAGCTGTTTCCTTTTAATCTCTCATTTCCACCTAACATATACGGGAATATATTCTTCGCAATTTTTTTTCCACCTCAGTTTGTTTCAGCTTTTTCTTCAGTTTTAATTAATATTAATCATTTGAATTTTTCTCGATGTAATATATATTACTTAAATAAATACTACGTCAACAAATAAATTACTCTGAAGTAAAAATCTGATTTCCATTTTAAAATGTCATCAAAAACAATTATTTTGTTATCAATCTATATTTTATTTGGTAAAGGGCTTTACAAAAATTGACTTACAGCTCCTTAAATTAATTGGATTTTACATCGAGAATAATTATTTAAATGAGCAGGCATACTTAAATTATTTCTATTACTGTTCTATTTAATTTCATGAGCTCATTCAGACCAGTTTTAGTTTTACAGCAAGCACCATTTGATCAACTTACCTAGATTGAGTAATATTTTTTGTAATACCATTTGCATTTGGAACAATGTAGTTCATTCCAGCTTTGGTGCTGTTGAACTCTTTATTTAATCTAATCTCATCATACCTGGTACTGAGGAGTTTAGGAATTAACTTTTTCTTTAAGTTAATTGGTTATTATGGTTTGTTTTTTTTTTTTAAAAAAAGAACCTTAAAAATATTTTTATTTTGATGCTACTTTATATAATGTACTCCTTTCGATCTATATTAGGTACGAGAAAGATTAAGAGTTGCATTAGACAGAGTTACATCTTTAGAAGAAGAATTAAATAAAGCGAATGAAGAGGTAAATGTTAATGACATTTTAATTAACTTATTCCTTGTCCTAAAATGTTATAGTTCTTAACTTTTCTTTGCTTTATTTTCTTATAGCTTACTCAATACAAAACCAAAAGTATAACATTAGATTTAAAAGAAGAAAAAAAACCATCTGTTGATGAGGGAACAACTCAACATATTTCAAAGGTTTGTATTTTATATATATTGATAGATATATAGATATTGCTATAGCTCATGTTGACAAATTTTGACATTAACAAATAATCAAGAAATTACTGTAATGAAACTGCATTCCCTCTTATTTGCTCCAAAAAAATCAGTCTTGCTCGAAACCTGTCCCAATTTAATTCATTTGTGTGTATTAGATTTGATTATATGAAAATAAAATTATATCTATTTCATTCGATTGGTATATTTCCCCCTAGATAACTATATTTAAAAAAAAAAATTCTTTACAGAATATTTCATTTATTCCTGAAGTGGTAAATTTTTCTTTTACATAATTTTTTTTTTAATTAAAAGTATATTTATAGATAGGAATAAACCATCAGGATATTTTTAAAATTCTGTGTAACTTAAAAAGAGTTATAATTAATTTTATTTGTATCTGTCATTTAAATTTATCTACATCTGCCTAGGGACTGATTGTGTTTCATGCTTTGTTATGTGTGTTCAATTACAATTTTCCTATAATGACAATAACAGAAATATATATTGATACTAATATTTATGTTCGCTAAATTTTAGTTAATTTATAATTTGTTTTAAAATTTCCTTTAAGTCATCTTAAATCTATATCAAATGGCTTACAAAATAATATCATAATCAAATATGTAAATCATTATTAATATATCTTTTATATTGTTTATGAAAAAATAGGTTTCTAATGGAACAGCAGAGGCTGCTGCTGAAGCAGCTCGTGTTGTTGAGCTGCAAGAAACTCTTGAAAAAGTAAATTCTGAGGTAACCACATCAAGAAGTAAAATTGCTGAACTTAGTGCCAAAATTAGGGAGCAAGAAGATGGAATAGCTGCTGCTCAAAAAGAAATAGCTAAAATGCAAGAAGAAAATGCCAGACTTTCTAGGGATCTTAAAGAAGTAAAAAATATGAATTTCTTAATGAATTTTAATTATTAATTATGTTATATTACTTATAGAAGAATACTTCTAATTTTTATTTATTTGTGGAGGGGGATATATTCTGTTGTATTGAATGCAATATCATTCTAAAGTAAATAATGATTTTTATTTTTAACTTATTAAAGCTCTTTACTTTGCTCAAATTTTGAAAAATGTAAGTCTTGGAATTTCATTTGAAACTAGTTCTATCCCTATGATAGTTTTGTAACAAAACTGTTTTTTGTTTTTTTTTTTAGAATAATGCGCAAAAAGAAGACCAAGAAGAAAGAATATCTACTTTGGAGAAACGATACTTAAATGCTCAAAGGGAATCAACATCCTTGCATGATCTAAATGAGAAATTAGAACAAGAACTTTCCAATAAAGAAGCTCAGCTAAAACTGGTAATTTTCAAAGAAACTAATTTAACCTTTCATTTTAAAAATAATCTGACATTTAATTCTGAAAGTTTTTTACAGAATGAATCAAATTTTATTACTTATAAATGAATATGAATCTATGATGCATAAAATCAATATATATATATTTCTTTTACACGGCGACAAAAAAAAAGCCTCATTACAACTCCCCGCATAGCAACACTAGAAAATCGACCAATGATTGCCGCTAAAAATGTCACATGCCAAATCTAGCTGAGGTGGCTCAACATATAGCGCTTTTAAAAACGGAAACTGAAATAACCAGAGAGAGCATTCTCACCAAATGTGATCTCATACTTTTGAGCTAGGCAGAAGTGAGTAGTCTTTGTCGATAGATCTCTATTTTAGTATTTTGTCAAAAGCGCTTTTTTTCACAAATTTATTTGACGATTTTTGATTTATATCACTAATTTATTTTTTTATTATTGTTATTAGTTATTCATTGAAAAATGAGTCTCAGTCGTGCTGTTACACTTTAAGATTTTATACTATAGCACATTTCTAATAGGTTTAACGAATTACATGCCATTTATTTGAATTCAAATTTATTCTAATCACTCAGTATTTACTAAAAAGATGTCATTTTTGTTTAAAAGAAAGTTGTTATATGGATTAGAATGATTGTTTTGAATTCTTAGAAATTTTGCATTTGCAATGTATCTAAGTTAGTAGCGAGCTTGGTTTGTGAAGATTAAGATTGTGTAGCAATTTTCGGGGATTAGCGAGCAGGGGGCGCAGCCCACTAGTAATTTTAATTTTTCAAAAGTAAAGCATCTTTGTTCATTTGAAAATTGTGAATTATTTTTAGGAATCTATTTTCTTTTCGCGTATAATTCCTGAATAGGGTATTTCTCTCTCCTTTTATTATTTTTTTTCCTTATCTTATATTTTAGCGTAAATTTATATAAATTATTAATTTTAACAGTTCGATCAATTTGTGTTTTAAACCTCTTTTTTTTTCTTGTCTATTTTATGCGAATTATATGTATGTCAGGTTTTTAAGTAATGAACTACCGATCATTTATTACAAATTTCACAAAAGGACATGATTTTCAAAGTTTATTTTTTCTGGTATTCAATTATAATTCATATATAGAAATCTTTATTTTCGTCTTAACTATAAAAATAGTCTAAAATAGTAGAAGTTTCTGTTAATAAAATATACATTTGAAAGTAGTCGTAAAACTAAGCCTTTTGAGAAAAAAATGAACTAATTTAACTCAGCATGTAAAATATTTAGTAGAAGTCCTTATTTTGTAAATGTGTATGATTTGGTTTTGAAATTACCTCTCAGAGGAATTTATCTTAAAATAAATACTAATTCCATAATCTTCTAATTACCTTTTCCACTTTTTTTTCTTCTACCTTATATAGCACATAATTTCTAACACTGCTTAAGTTTAATACTTTATTTCCATTATAATATAAGATTCTTAACTTAAGTGTTTGGTTAAATGTAACTTCATCTAAAGTCTATGCCATAAAACTATTATTCAATTTATAAAAATAATTTTAAGAAAACATAAATTCATTTTTTAAGAGTTGTTAACTGTTTCCTCTTTTTATATACCGATTGCTTATAAAAAATTTAGATTTAACTTACTTGATATGCAAAATTTTTTTTTAAAAAATAGTGTTTTTACTCAATAATAAATAATGATTTATTCTTATTTTTATTAATAATAAATCATTATTTAATATTTTTCAATACTAATGAAAAATATATGAAACTTGCAATTCGTAGCTTTCAATTTTACCTTCGATAAATTTTAACTACTTAGTTCATTGGAATGATATTTTATTTATAGTTGCAACATTTATAATTTTAGAATATTGAAAACTCTTTAATTTAAAAAATATTTCTGATCTGAAAATATCATGTAAAGAAAAAATTAGTACAAGTCACTAGAAAGAGTTTTACTCTCAATTTTTCCCCCTTTACGAAGTCGTTTCATATTATCTAAAAGGCAAAAAACAAGGGTTTCTCTTTATCTTCATTATGATACATTTAGTACTTAAAATCTACTTATCTGCTTTTGTAAAACATTGCAGTTATTTAAAGGCCATCTGCTTACATTAATTAATTTATTATACTTCACAGAATGAAGAAAAATGTAGAGCGTTACAAGAACGATTAGAATTAGCAGAACAAAAATTAGCCCAATTTTCACGAAAAGCAGAAGCTGCTGCTGGAGAAGCATTAGCTCAGGTTTGTTGTTTTACTTATTTGTTTTTTAAAATAAAATGCTTGAGTTTTAAATATGTCGTAAAATTACTTCAGATTTATAAATTTCATAATGAAAAACTTAGTTAATGAATATGTAGCAAATCTAGCTATTTAATAGGCTATCGTAGTATGTTATATATTGTTGGGAAAATCATAATTTTTTTATTCATCCCGAAATAAAGTTTTTGAAATTATAGCTTTCAGTCACCGAACGAAATTATGTAACTTTTCATATATATAAAAAAAATTATGTTTTGTTTAAATATTGAAATTGTGTATTCTATTAGGCTTTTTAATGATAATTTAAAATCAACAAAGTAACTATGTTTTTTTTTTTCATTGAAATAGCTGACTGATTGAAAATTTATTTGTTATAGGTACAAGATCGCCATGGTAGTGTAGAAGACCGAATTCAAAGGTTAGAACAACAACTTGAAGAAAAAGGCAGTGAATTAATTAGGGTAATTTTAATTTTTATCTAATATTGAAATTTTTTTATTATTATTTTAAATATAATTGATTATTATAAATAATTAAACTGTTTAATATATATATATAAGTATTTTAGGAGCAGTTACTTCCATCTTTATCATAATTTACTGATCATTCATTTAAATATTAAACAAGCAGCGTTCCTGATATCTTAATGTCACTTTTCATCTTATTAGTTGTTGTTTTAAAAAATAATGCTTCTATATCGTTTAGCATACATATTTGCGATTTAGAATAAATTTAAAAAATAGCTTGTGCATTAATAATTATGAATATTTCAAATTTTTTGAAATAGTGTTGTTTTTAATTACAACTCATAAAAATTTAGTATATACATATTAACAGTACAGCATAATGATTCACTTGTACGAACAAACTTCAGCATAGATCTCCTTACCAGAAAAATGTTAATTAGTGATCAAGGAATAATTTTTGCATAATGATTCATTCAAAAAGTATTCTGAAAATAAACACAGGTAAAGTTATAAACAATTAAATTTCTGAATGAAACTTTTGTTATGCTGTCAAAAGGAATTTTTTTGAAGATGTATTTTGTAATGTAAGATACGTAATGTAATTACTCATTTTTTAATTAACAGTGGGATAAACAGATGCCGATTTAAAAATTGATTTTTACATAAATAATTTTCTCAAAATTTATCTTCCATTTTTAAATTATGTCAAATAAATTTTCAGTAAATGATCTTTAAGTAATAATAATGTCTCTTATTCCAGTTAATTCCCTTAGTCTATACTATAATTTGTTTTTTCAGTCAAGACAACGTGAAAAAATGAATGAGGAACATAACCAAAGATTATCATCTACTGTAGATAAATTATTAGCTGAATCCAATGAACGTCTTCAACTTCACTTGAAAGAGCGAATGCATGCTTTAGAAGAAAAAAATTCATTAGCTCAAGAGCTTGAAAGGACAAGAAAATTGTTAGAAGATACTTCAATTGAAAAAGTGAGAAATTATTCAAATTTAGTACTAAAATACTATAGTAAGCACACAATGAATAAAATGATTGTGTGATTACTGTAGTTTTTTTTTCTACTTTCTGTTGATAGAATGAAGAGTTAATTAAAAAATAATCACAATCACAACGAAAAAGTAATTAAATTTAAACCTTAATGTGCTTAACTCGACTCTAAGGTGAAATACATTGGTTTCTATTACATTCCAGCTAATTCACTACCACTCAATAAAAATAAACTGTTGAACTTTTTTTTTTCCAAGACTTTTTGTAATATAACTTTAGTTCCAAGTATTAAGCACTTTAAATATCTGATAGCTATAAGAATTTTTTTCTGATTCAATCATTTTTGATCTATGTCTCATATTCTTTCCATTCTTATATTAATGCTTTTTGTAGATTAGAACACTTTTTATTATTTTATTTGTTAGGAAAGTTACATTAATAGTTTTTTAAAGAGTTAGTGCATTATAAATAAATAGATTCCTGTTTTGTACGCTATAATTATTTTTACTCTACAACCTATATCATTTGTATTTGTAAAACATTTTATTCCTTTTATTAACATGTTATTTTTACAGGATAAGATTTTGAGTGAATTAGGAAAAATAAAAATTGAAATGGAAAACCTGAGACGTGATCATCAAGCATTTAAAGCTGAAAGCCTGGCAAGGTTTGTAAAAATTCTGCATTTTTATACTAAAGTGTTTATAAACTATATAACTAACTTGGGTATTCTAACTTCAAAGTTATTTCATTGCCTATTTGTATTCAATAAATACTAAATGGCAATTATTTAACTATTTCAGGAGAGTTTATATCTTTAATGAATGGTGGTAAAGAACAAGTAATAAATGGTTTTACCCATAATTTCTGATGACATATTTTTGGATAGCACATTTATTATTATTTTATTTTGTAACATTTTTTAGCAAAATGCTTAAATACTAAAATGAAAACTAGATTTTTTTTTTTACCTAAACATTTTATCTACTCTATTTAAAAATAAAAAAAAATTTAAAGATTATGAATTAAAAATTAATATTTTGCTAAAACTTATTTTTCTGATTTTATCCTTTTTGTTAAAAGAATTTGTGAACTAAGCCTAAACCATTCAAAGCTCTCTTTATTGACTAAAAATAGTTTATTATAAACTATTTTTATTCACATAGAGAGCAGTCAAGAAAACTGTGAAAGCCAAAGTAGTTTTTAAAAAAATTTAAGCATCAGTACTAAACGATATTTAAGAAAAATTATTCTATGTGATTTTTCACAATATTTTAAGAAACAAAGAGTTAAAATGTATGAAAACCTAGAACAAGATGGTTAGATAGAGTAGAGAAGTGATTAAAGAACTTGGGAGTCAATCGATTTAGAAATATACCATCAAATAGACGAGATGGGGTAAACTGACTGAGACGGCCTTGGCCGATTACCGGCTGTAATGCCTAAAGAAAGGGTTAAAATATATAAAACTTCAGTGTAATATTCTCATGCTGGCTGCATATTTTAGGGAAATTCTTGAATTCAAGAATTCTTGAGTTTCATTAAGTATTGAATTTTTTTTTTTTTTTTTTTTTAATGAAATAAATTACCTAATCTAATGTAAAATTAGTTTTTACATGTTTAATTTGTATTTTTTTTTCCTGAATAGTAGACATAAAAACTAATTTTTTTTAACATTTATTAATTAATGTTTAAGTCTCTTTTTTTCCCTTTCGTTGTTGTTGAAATATAAAAAAGTAAAACAAATTTATATTGTTTGATCTGTATCTAAATTTAAAGCTTTTCATTAAATGTATTTTTTTATTCGTTTAGGTTGAGCTCTACTCGTGTTCTTCCACAAACATCTCCTCAATTCCCAACACGCACAGCTCTGTCTCCAGCTGCCATTGTCACAAGTACCATATCTCCCAACAGAACTCCTGCTATTGATACTTCTGATGCATTTCATATAGTCAGTGGTATTGATTACATTTCACCTAATGCTTCTATTAACCGAAGATTACAGAGAGGCAGGCAAGCTGCTTTAGAAGAAGACGCTACCAAAGTAAGGGCTTCATACTGGTATCTTATTTTATTATTTGCAGGCTTCATACAGGTTTAAATATTCTATAATCATGGCTTTTACATATAGTACAGTACAGAAGCCGTTATCCGGAAATCGAAAAACCAGAACAAAATTCGATAAATTTTCCCTCCATTTTTTTTTTAAAAAAATAAAAAATCCCTCCTAAGATTTTTCTTTCTTACCATCATTTTGGAAATAATCATTAGTGTATTACTTCATCCTTTTTTCTTCTTTTTAAGATTATATCCAAAAATCTTTTTTTTTTTTTAGTTGGGTTTAACAAGGCTTTTTGTAGCGATGGTCCCGATCGTTCCGGATAATCGGTTCCCTACTGTATTATAATCCTTGCAAAAAAATCTCTAGACATTAGGGTTGCAATTGGGAAACAAAAATGGTATTGAATATCTGTTGAATCACTGGTGAGAAAAGCTCATACATAACCATAATTATCATGAAAACCAGTCTGATCCCCTAATATAATTTGAATATGTTTCTATTACACGCCTTCCAACTCATTTCATTTCTCCTGTTTCCTCCAACAGTCAGAAAGATTTTGATGATTTCAGTTCCATCTTTGTTTGTGATTCCTTGCATTTCAGTATGTTGGTTTTTCATGGTTTAAATTGTAATTTCTGTCCTCTAATGCCCATTAATGAATTATTTTTAATCTCTTGCATATAAATATCTTTTTAACTATCAATAACTGGAAAACTAAATATCTATTCGAAGGTGACAATAGATAATTGATTTGTCATTAGATGTACTAATCTATTTTTATGCAACTTTGAACTTTTTATTTTTTTAATGTTTATTTTGTTTAATTTATTTCTAAACTAGTTTACATCTATTTAAAACTTAAATTTTAGATTTTGAATAATTTAAAGTATGTAAACTCCCTAATAAATTACTGTATGCAATTTTATCTTTATTGTCATTTGTAAGTTATTTAAATAACGAAGATGATAAACCAGCAATTCTGGAGATATTACTATTTTCTCTCATCATTAGATACCATTACTTATTTTGTTATAAAAGACTTTTACTTAAGCATACTTTTTAATCAGTTTTGTATTATGTTGTAAAAATACATGTAAATAGCTAGGATAAATTGAGATAGATCTTTTTTTGCTTTTCATAATTTTTTTTTAAGAGTCACTGGTTTATTTATTTAAGAAAGTAATAATTTATGCAGTTTATATTTAGTGAAATAATTTTACAAAAATTTATCTGCAGGTTCAGACTCTAAATGAGCAAGAGTGGGAAAAAATGGAGCAAGCTCAAGTTTTAGCTAATGTCCAACATGCCTTTGATGCTAGTGATACAGAATGTAGTCAAACTGATGATAATGAGAGTATATTTGAATCCATGGATATGCTTTCACCATCAGCTCATACTGATGCTCAAACATTAGCTCTTATGTTGCAGGAGCAGCTAGATGCCATAAATAATGAAATTAGGTATTTATTTAGTTGTTTAATTACGCTGGACTTTTTTTTTTTTTTTTACTCTANAAGATTAAAATAGTTTGTGTCTTCTCTCTATCATATTAACTATTTATTGCTTTACTTGGGAACTAATATTATAAATAGGAAATTTAAAAAATAAATCTCTTATTCAAAATATAAATTCAGTGTTTTCTTATTATTTTAATACTCATTCTTTTAATTCATAGAAATAAAGAAAAAGCCGATGGGCTTTATTCCCCTGTAAATAAAAGATTGATCAATTTCTTTTATTAAAAATTTTATGTTATGCATTGAGGCTATAACTTTTATTTAAATGGGCATAACTGATGTATTCCCAATTTATTTTTGATTTTATCCACACATTTAATATAATCATAATATTGTTTTTACTTTATGTAGCAATATTCATTTAGTATTTTTATTTTATTTATTTTACAGTCAATGGTTGTGAAAATCAACCTTATTAGATTTTTATGGGCATTAAGTGTTTACCTCTTGTTTTAACTAAGTACTAGTTTACTGTATTTGAAATGTTTTTAGGCTAATACAAGAAGAAAAGCATACAACAGAACAGAGAGCTGAAGAGCTTGAGTCAAGGGTAGGAAGTATAGAAACTATTAGCCTATTAGCTAGAGGACGATCATTTGAAAGAAGTTCTCCCCCACAAAGTGGTAGATCTACTCCCAAATCACATCACAGTCCTCAAAGAGACTATGTACAAAAATATCCTGTAAGTACTGTTAAGTTATCATTGTGAAAACTATTGAGCAGTTTCTATTGGAATTAAATATGATTTTTTATATCCAAAATGTTAGCCAACACCTGGTCTATAGCTGTGTTATGACTATTTCATTTAGTTAAAGAATTGGAAAAATAAATAGTTCTTTAAAGAATTGAGGAAATATATATGTGTCTTCTAATCTATTTGATAATTGTAATTAATTTCTAAAAAAAAATATATCTTAGAATTCTTTTGCTTTTATTCGTAATTAATTTTTTACTTTCATCTAATGAGCTGTAACTTGAGTGTACAATGGTAAATAAATATTAAAAAAAATTATTAATATTATTATTTATACTATTATTATAATAATAATATACATAATATTATTAATAAATATTGAAAAAAATGTAAAAATAATTATGTCTGTAATATATTTTTGAAGATAGTTTTTTTCATTGATTCCTAAGTTGCTTTGGTTAATAGAAAATTTTCCTCTTTCAAAAATGTTCTTTGTAAGGAAACTATTTGTCACCATATTGAAAATGAGAAAATTGTTTTCAAATGGATGGCAAGTCAATCATTTTGCAAACTGATATTTTATTTACTAGCTATTTTTAATTAGGTTTGAATAAATATTCTCTCTTATTATTATAAAACTCAACACTAAATGTTTGAAATTATTGTTTAGCCAATTAGTCAGATGGATGGTAAAGAAGATAATAGGTTAATATTAAGAAGAGATCCTAGTCCTCCTACACCTCGTTCTGTACGGCTAGAAAGAGTAGCTAGAGCATTGGCAGAAAGTTCTGAAGAGTTGCGAAGGTAAATTTAGTGTATTAATTACCAATTCTAAAATTACAATTGTTTCTCTTTAAAAAGAACTTTACGCTTTTAAAAAAAAAAATTGCTACTATATCTAAATCACATTTGTATTGTATATGATATTAATAAGGAGTTTTTTCAATTCAAATTATTTCCCTCATCGCTCTTTTCATCTGTGTTGTATTGATTCTATTGGTATTTATTTCTTTAATTTATTTTTTTACTTCTTTATTTTGCCTAATCATATTTTAAAAACAAACATATTGATCAAGTGTATCTTTCAGTATGTAAACTTCTACATTGTATTAATATTACTTAAAATGATTCATATTCATCAAATGAACTAACTTAAACCAACTTCGCAAAGTTTGGATGCCACTATAACACTTTAATTTCTTCAGGCAAAAATTACAATTGTTTATATCGCTTGTATATGTTAATAAGAATTTAAGAGTATTTTCCTCAAGCTCCTGTAATTGTTTGACATAAATAACAGAAATATAAAAATAAGCCAATCTTTAATTTGTAGCCAATAAGGCTAATGATTGGTCACATATATTAAATTAGTTTCTAAACAATTCTTTAAATACTTGAATTATTTAAAATCTTACATTATTTAATAGTATTAAAATATATTTCCACTCGGTTTTATATCTTTTCATTTGGTTTTAAACATATTGCATGAAAATCATTAATGAGTGTAAAAAACACAAATCTGTGTTTGTAAATAAAACATGCATGTCTTCCTAATGTAAGGATAAATTTCTTATTCCTGTTCTAATATTTAATGCTTAACAAAAACTGCCTTTCTGTCATAACACTATTACTAATAAATAGATATAACATTTTAATATAAAAATAATTTTTGCTCTTGTTATATTGCTTTCATCATTTGCTGCTTTAAACTCTAATGCTTTACTCAACCATTTTTAGAAGCGTTGGTTATAACATTCCACAGTCTTCTCTTGGTATATCGTCCATGTCATCCCCCATGCCTTTTTCGTCTCAAGATATGTTCCTTGGGTACCCTCTTTATTCTTACTATTCACCCCTTAAGTCTTTGTGTTTTAGATGTATTCATAAGCTCTAATTGTGAATATTGCCATTAGAAATTTTTGCAATTTTTATGTTACATTTATTGCATGCAGAAATTATAAATGTGTTGTTACTAAAAAGAAATAAATTAAAATACTCTTACTTAAAACATTTGTTTATAAAAAAAAAATTATTTGCAGTGATTGTAATATAAGATATTATTAATATGATTTATCTGTCTCTTAAAATCTCTTAAAATGGTTTTTGTTTGTAATTTTTTTAAAACAAATATCCCAGATTTTTATAATTTTTGTGCAAAAATTGTCAGAATTTAAATTAAAAACTAATTATCTTATCCATAACAAAGTTCTTTTTATATCATAATATTTATATAAATATTATGAGATAATGTATGTATCATATTTTTTATGATGAAGAAACAAAATGTTGCTATTAAAATAAAAAATTTATTTTGAAAAAATTGAGAAATTTATTTTGCCTAATTGAAAAATTAAATTGAGGTAATGCGTTATATTAAAATTGATTCTCTTTTTAAAAATCATGTCAATTCTGCTGCAGGTCTCTTATTTTCCAAATTATGAAATTAATTAATATTAAACACTGTTTTTTATCAGCTAGTAAATTGTTGAAGTAAATGCCTCCATTAAAACTGTCCATAATACATGTTGTGTTAATTTAAAATAATAAAATGGCTGGTAAAATATTTAAATTGAATTTTTTTCTTAATAGTAAGAGATTGGATAATAGGAAAGAGATTATAGCATCATTAAACAGCTTACTACGTCCTCTCCTTACCCTCAGAGTTTTTTAATTCTTTTTTTTTTTTTTTAATTCAAAAATTATTTTAGAAAATTCTTCTGTCGGGGAAACTAATTGGGTATAAAATTTCAAAGAGAAACAACTAGATGCAATTTTTTACATTTAAACCCTTATGCAATTGAAACAAAATTCGATCAAACTACTGGTTTCCAATAGATTTATTCGAAAAATATCTGTTCCCTGATTCAACTGTTACGATTCGAACGTTTCATGTCACGTGACCAGCAGGATAGTTTGACTTTGAAGACTAAGTTTGATAGAACTATTTCTGACCAGTCATAAAGCAGATATTCTCTGTTTAATGGTGGTGGTGAAGGAAACTCAAAGGGGCAGTAAGATAAAAACTTAGTTGTATGTTGCAAGCACTCCATGAAAATTTTATATAAATAATCTGCTGATTGAACAATGATATACTAGGTTTTGATTAAGAGACGTTGATTTTGAGTTACTTAATAGCATTTATAAAGAAATTTCTGAATTGAAATCCAAAGCTATTAAATTTTCCCATCTGGTTAGATATATGTGTTTTTTTTCTTATGTATAAGTATTTTGAAATTGTAGAAAGATTAGAAATTACGAATTGTTATCTAAAACAAATGTTAAAAAGTACATTTATCATACTTTAAAAATTTAAATATTTTTTTTATTTATAACCTTTGAAATAACTTTTATTTTTTAGAAAGACTATTAACTATTCCTTTCTGGCTTCTGTATTTAGAAAAATTTATTGCTCAATGAAAAATAAAAATCTGATTAGTAGCTTCTTAATTTGCTGTTAAATAGGATATTTTTCTCAAGTAATAATTGTGAATACAATTTTATGTTAATGTATGCTACATAAAAATAATTAAATGATTAATCTTTAATGATATAAGGTTAAAACAATTTGTTAAGATTTTTTTCATGCATAATTTCTTTACTGGTGTATAATATATCTTAGTACCAGAATTTGTTGTACACTGTGTTTGACTTTATTTTACTACTAATTCAATAAAAATGGCTGATCCATTAGAAAGTATGTTGAGAGCCTTTAGCAGCGATTATATTTTGGCATGTTGTATTTTGTTTTTTTTTGCAGTAATTGTGATCAAGCTTGTGTCATTGCTTTTTCAATATTAGCGTGTTTTTCCTAATTAAAACTAACTTATTTCAATATTTTGTTACATCATAGATGCACATGGCTTCTATTGTTTGCTTGTTTGTTATTTATGTTGCCTTGTCATTAGCTTTAGAATGCATCCTTTAAGGCACACATGCTTCTTATTCCCCTCCTTTAGTTATCCCGATTTGGTTCCTGAAATATCTCAATCCCGGTTATTGCTTGATGGAACCTCCCATAGTTCCCCTTCCTCCTCTCATAGTTCTACATCTGAGGATTCTTTGAATAGGACGCCACAAAGAAAAAAAGGTATCAAGTCTTCTTTTGGGCGCCTCTTCAGCAGTAAGAAGGATAAAGTCAAGATCAAAGAAGGTTATGGTGTTACTTCACCAGGTTTGTATCTTATGTTATGAAATTAAAAGGCTTTTGCAATTAAATTATATGTTGCCAAAGCCATTTTATATTTTTTTACCAAATCTGGAATAACTATACATTAATAAAAATGAGCATATCTAGTAAAAATATGCTCAGAAAGACTTGCACAAATATTTTTTTAGCTTTTTAAGCTATAACATGTTTGTGATTCATAAATCTTATTTTAAATAAAAATTGGAATTACATATAGTAAGCAGAAGCAGTTAACCGAAACAGTGGGGTAACATAAAGAATAAAATTCTAAATGGGCTTCAATGATACATCGATATAATTTGAACTTTCAGTTTTACTTGGATAGCACTTTTAACATTATTTCTAGTTTCCTTAACATTTATAATCAGAAAACTCATTGTTTAAATTCATAGAAACAGATATTTCTTCTGAGCATCTTATTGCACATTTTTCAGTGTCAGAATTTAAACTACTTGATACAGAAAGGTCCCAAGAACCAAATGTACATGTTTTAAATTTATTGAAGAAAATGAGACATGAGCTTTTGTTAGGCCTTAGCCAGCTTTATGTTCCAAATCTTTATCAAGTTTCAATATGAACTAATATTGTGTTATTACAACATTTTCTAATTCTACTTTCTTTTTTTTACCATAAATTGTCTGTTAGAAAAACATTGTTTCTGTAAAAACTTATTGAAAATAAAATTTAAGTAATAACATTAAAAGAGTAAGAATCATGAAAAAAGATGAAAGTATTTTATGCATTTGATATTCTTGATAGTATAAATTACTAAATCTACTCCAATCTAAAGAAATCTAGTTGGCGAAGCAAAGCTTCTAAAAAAATTTAAACTGTTTTAGAAAAAATTTGATTTTGTATAATAAAATCACTTTTTTTTCACCATGTAAAAGCATAATTTTGTTGAGCTTAAGTTTTAAAGTGTTATTTAAATTATTTTCAAATTTGAAATTTGTTTATTTTAATAAGCAAAATAAGTTAGATTTACATTTGAAGTTAAAAAGTTTATGTTAAAAAAAATATTAGTAATTTGATAACTAAATACACACTTGAGTAAAACAAGATAGGGTCTATTGCTGAATACTTAAGCTTCACAATTTATTTCTAATTTTCAAACAATTCAATTGTTAAAACAACTGTGAACTGTCAGCAAACTGTGAAAAAAAAAATTATTATTGAAACCTGTACATGATTTGGTGTCACAACCTTCACTAAACCTTTTGCTTTAAACCTTCATCTGTTGGATTAATGGTTGAGAGGATTTAATTTGACAGAGGTTACATCATACTAAATATTTAAATTTACAGTTAAAGCTATAATATAAAAATTACAGAAAATTAAAAGTTAATGATTTCCAAATGTTTGACTAAAGCAACATCAATAGTAAGAGAATTTAGGTTTTCGATGTTGAAACTTTCCTCAAAAATTCAAGTTAAGGCATGAAATACACTGAAGAGCCAAAAAAAAAACTGGTATACCTGCCTAATATCGTGTAGGGCCCCCGCGAGCACACAGAAATGCCGCAACTTGACATGGCATGCATTCAATCAATGTGTGAAGTAGTGCTGGAGATAATTGACATCATGAATCCTGCATAAACCAGTGGGAGTAAGAGGGGGTAGGGATATCTTCTGAACATCACATTGATCAAGGCATCCCAAATATCCCAGCGATGTGGTAGATTTGATGTTTTACGGGATTTCCGATACTCACGGTATACTCGTGAAGTGGTCGCACGTGAAAATCCAAATTTCATATGTCCCATCTCCCGTACGCCGACTATGGCACCACGTTCCAACTCACTTAAATCTGTATAACCTGGCATTGTAGAAGCAGTAACTGATCTAAGAACTGTGCTAGACACTCGTTGTCTTATATACATGTTGCCGATCGCAGCGCTGTACTTTGATTGACTCCATTTGCATACTCATGCCTGTACCAGTTTTTTTTGGCTCTTCAGTGTGCATTTATAAATGATATGAAGAGAAATCAAACTTAAAGCTTCACTCTTCACCTCATATCATTCATAAATATATTTTATTAATTGACCTGGATTTTTAGAAGAGTTTCTATATCATCAAGATCAAAAATGTTATTGTTAATGATGCTGCTAACCCATATTTATCAAATATTTTTAAATAATTACTATTTTACTTTTCTGTTATTATAAAGTTTGAAATCTTAACTCTTGAATATGAAGTAATCTCTGTTTTACCATCCTTACCATTTTTCCTACTGATGAATGTGTGCCGTTGGAGCACTGATACGAGTATTGGTTTTAATAAATGAAAATAAGAAATTCCATTTAGGATTTTAAATCTTATTTTAATGAAATTTAATATTATCAATTAGAAATTACACTCTCAATTTTATGCTATTTAATATATTTTCTATTTAGGTGTTTCATATATTGATGCTGAAGCAACTGTTCAGGAGTCTGTTGGCATGACTGGTGGAATAGGACAAAAATCGGATCATGATCGTAGAACCAAGAAAAAGTAATGTAAATGCTTTGTTTCGAAAACAAAAAACTACCATATTTTTTATTTGACACGGGAAGCTAATAAAAAAATTCTTGTGAAATAAAGGAATAAAATGGACCAAATTAAACTTTTTTTTCTGTCATAATATTTGTGTCTGGAAATGACAGTCCTGTAGATGGTATGCAGGGGTCCGTCCAGACATTTTGTAAAAGGTCCATTTTTGTAAAATTTTAAAAAAATTACTCGTATTTTGTGAATATAAAATAAACGTTAAGTCACATTCTTTCAAATATGGTCAAGCTTTTGTGAATTTGTGCAAATAGGTCCGTTATTGCAAAAAAAACTTTTTCAGGGAGTTTTTAAATTGTAAAGACATACAAGATAATGCGCAACACAGTTAAATTATAATTAAATTTTAAAAAATAAACAGCCATTGCTGCTACTAAATTAGAGATGCAACATACAAATATTTGGTATTTAGCCTATACTGCTGAACACAGAATATTCATTTCGGACGAATGATGGAAGAAACGTCTGCCGAAGACAAAACTTAATTTGTTTACATCCATCTTTCTTGTTTTCTGCTCTAGGAAGGGTTTATTCGATTAACAAAATAATAATGAACATAAACAAATTTGTGAAGGGTCCGTTTTTATGAAAAGATATTTTGTGAAGGGTGTGTTAACGAATCCAAATTTCTTCTCAACAGACCCCTGGTGTGTATAACTTATTGTTGTTTATTGCCATAAGAGTCATTTCTCTATAATAGTTTTGTATAGCAACGTATCATGTAGTGAAATGCATGATAGTATCTTCATTAATTGCTAATATTCGTTTTTAAATGCAATGACAGATTGGTTGAAAAAGAATTTTTTTCCAAAATTCTTTAACAAAGTAGTGTGTATGTGTATTTTCCCCTTCTTAAAAAATTTTAATCTTAGCTTATTTAACTGGATCTGGGTTTACAATTCATAATAGTTCTTGGTGCTTGAATAAATTAGAAGTTGCTACTGTTTTTTTTGCTTATGTATGTTTATGAACTTGGTTTCATTTTAAGTAATTACCAACTCATCAGATATCGCTTTACCAAGTCAGACATAAATGCTTAGTTTTCTCTTTCTATGTATGTAAAACTCAGCTTATAATTGAACATTCAAAGCACAGATGGGCTTTTATAGATTTATAAAACAAATGTGTTTATTATATGTGTATCAGTTGTATTCTTGAAAAGTTTTTAGTTTTCTTTTTTATAATTATGTGTTTTCTTTCTCTGTTTCAGACATGAATTGTTAGGAGAATCTATGAAAGCAGGGACACCATTTGCTCTATGGAATGGCCCTACAATAGTTGCTTGGCTAGAGGTGTGATTATTATTTAAGTTTTTTTTTCTTCTTTTTCCTGAACCTATTTTAAATAAATAATGAGATAACGTGACTGAGCCATTTTTTCTGGTCTTTCCAATAGAGAGGCATTGCATTTGCAAGCTATCTTCATGTTAAAGATTTTATGTAATTTCTCAATTCTTGAAAATCTGATCTTCCATAGTTAATGTATTATTAACTTTTTTTTTAACTGTGGGATAATTTTAGTGTAAAGGTCAAACAAATTACTATATTTTCAAAATATAAATTTTTTCAGTTAATTTTAGTCAATTTGAAGATTATACAAAATTAAAATCTAACTTTATAAATCAATTTTCTATAAGCCACACACTACAAAGAATCCAACTTTTTGTTAAATTTTTCGTGAGAAGTGAATATTTAATGAAGTTCAAAATATATAGTTGGGTAATCTTGCACAATTGTTTAAAAATACATTTTTTGTTTTCAAAAGAATTCCTTTTATTTATTTTCAATTATTATGTTTTCTAATGTTTCTCAGTTTAAACCGAAATTTTTGAACTTATTTTTACTCAAAAGTCTTACAGTATGATACTTTTTTGCTAAATCTATCTATTATAAAGGAATCCTTGGAAAATTTATATAAAACTTAGTTGACCTAAGAATATCCAAGGGGATGCCTATAATTTACACTCCCTCTACTCTGGCAAGTTATTTTGCCAACAGTATGTACATAAAGGTAATGTAAAAAATTCAAGTTTCTGACATTTTCCACAATTATGGATTTGGAATAATACCAAATAGACTCTTCTTGCAACAATTTATTCTTCTCAATAAAATTTTCAATCATGATAAATACAAAATGTTCTTTAGAACCTTGGTTCAATGCCTTTGATTTATCAAATATCTGGAGTAGTCTTAAATAAAACATTTTCAAGTGTGCAGAGAAGTCTAAATGAGCCTTGTTAGAACTGAAAAGTGGCTGAGAATCTGTTAGCACCTTTAAATCTGCTAGAAAGCAAATCACATGCAAGGGAAGGGTTTCCTAAATAAGGTTCCAGTTTAAACAATGCTTAAATGTTATTTAATTTTTTCTGTTACTTAAATATTTATTTGAAAAAATTACAGGTTATGTGTGATTGAGTATAAATTGCTTGTAAATAATTTTTTTGAAAATTCTGAATACACGTTTAAGTAAACCAAATATACTGGATTCTATTTCTATTTTGCAAAAGAAATAAAAAAAATTTCCCTTTAGATTATTACACTTACAAAGTTCTCACTTGCAAAATTTTTGTGGCTGAAAAGAAATTATTTTAATAATCTTGGTTGTTCTCTTTCAAAAAGGAAGAAAAATATTTTTAAATGTTACATAAAATTCTAAAAACATTGATGAAACTACTTTATCTAACTTTAAAAAAATTAATTATTATTTTTAGTTGTGGGTTGGTATGCCTGCCTGGTATGTTGCAGCCTGTCGGGCAAATGTAAAAAGTGGTGCCATTATGTCTGCCTTATCAGATTCTGAAATACAGAGGGAAATAGGAATAAGTAATCCATTACATCGTCTGAAACTACGATTAGCAATCCAAGAAATGGTTGCATTGACTAGTCCATCTGCTCCAAAACCCTCTAGAACAGTAAGTATTTATTTTATATAATAGGTTATAAAAATCCAGAGGTGCAGAAATTTCTCCGAGCCTAATATTTCCCCGGAATATAGTTTTTTTATTTTGAAATTTTCCCCAAAATTGTAGAGTTTTTTTTTTTTTTTTTTTTTTTTTTTTTTTTTTTTTTTTTTTTACTATAACTTTTTCAAATTATCTTTAGAAAGAAGTTTGTATATTGTCAAAATATTTTGATAATAATTATCTCTTAAGCAATGAAAAAATTTATTTTATTTTCCACAACTCTTGAATAAAATAATGCATGTGTTAAAAATAATAAAATTCAAAATATATAGAAATACTAATTAAAGTTTTCACTCATAAACTTAGGTAATTCAAACTGAATCAAAAAAATCTACATACGAAATTATTTGTGCTTATTTTAGTATAACAGAAAATAGTATTTTTATTTAACAGCATAAATTGATGCAGGGTTACTACAGGCATTTAAAATGCAACTATTTTTGGCATGAGGCGACTATGGCTACTTTTTTTTACCGGAAAAGGTCTAAAAGAAGCAACTATTTTCAGGAAAAGGAGACTATTTGGAGACTTTTCTGTACTCCTAGAAATGTTTTTTTCTTCTTCTTTAAGGCATATTTTTTATTCGTTCAATCTGCACAGATTCCATTGTGAGTCTATTTCATTTCTCAATCGCCTTTTTAATGATTATTGCTATGAAATTCCTCATGATTTTAAAAAAGAGGGGAGGGGGAATTAATTATGATATTACGATGCGTGAATTTCAAATTTTAGTAATAACTTTTCATATGTATATAAACATTAACGTTTATATAAAAATTATCATATTTGCCAACAACTTGACTGAATGGATCATGGTATATGACAATTAAGTCATGAACAAAATTTTAGTCATACTTTTGATGAATTTTTGTTCTTATTAAGGCAACTATTTTCCTGCTTTAGGCAACTTAAAACAACTATTTTGTTCATTTTTTTTCTGTGGCAACCCTGTTGATGCAGCATGAAAATTATGATAAAAAACCAAAAGCCGATTTTGTAAAAATATGTTGAGATCTATAACAGTACCGACAAATCAGTCATAAAAATGGTCAAACTGAATGATCAAATGCGTGATTCAAATTCCGAGTGTTGTTATGTCGTATGTAAATATTTGTTATCCTTGTCCAAATTGTATTTATAATCAAACTAGGAGTGCAACTCATTAAAGTAAAAATAAAGATTAACTATATTCAGTATCATTTAGAAATGAATGCTTACCAAAATTTATGTTGTTGGTTATTGATGGTTGTTAAAGCATGATTGTCAACATTTACCATAATCAAGCAATTTTCCTTATAAATTAGCATTTTACTACATAACTTTTTTTTTTATTATTATTTGGATTTGTGGAATAATATTTTTACATTGTTTAGATTTAGAGATCATGGTATAATTAGGTAACTATAATCTCTGTTTTTCAGTGCATTACTTATGCTTTCGTAATATAAAAAATAAATAATTATAAACGAACATGCAATGAAGTCCCAATGGAACTCCTTTTAGTATTAAACAAAGCTGTAAACCAACAAACATTACTAATATTTTTTATTATTATTTGGATTTATAGAATAGTATTTTTACATTATTTAGATTTAGAGATCATGGTATAATCAGCTAACTATAATCTCTGTTTTTCAGTGCATTACTAATGCATTCGTAATATAAAAAATAAATCATTATAAACGAACATACAATGAAGTCCCAATGGAACTCGTTTTTTTATTAAACAAAGCTGTAAACCAACAAACATTAATAATATTTTTTTATTATTATTATTTGAATTTATAGAATAGTATTTTTACATTATTTAGATTTAGAGATCATCAGCTAACTATAATCTCTGTTTTTCAGTGCATTACTTATGCTTTCGTTATATAAAAGATAAATAATTATAAACGAACATACGATGAAGTCCCAATGGAACTGGTTTTTTTATTAAACAAAGCTGTAAAGTTGTAAACCAACAAGCATTACTGATGTTATCTTTTAAATAATTGAAAAATTCATAAAGTTTCTTCAATGTAAACAAATTCGTTTTAAGCATGGCATATTTTTAAAAAATTAACGATTTTTAGGGTTCAAGCTAAAATTGACCCTTAGTTCAATTGCACAAGCCGTTATTAGATAGACACATGCATATAAACCCTTCCTTTTATTGTAATTTAACATATGTTGTTCTACAACGGTGTATAGATAAAATATCACTTTGACATCTTTAATCGATATTTTTTTAAAAAAAATCTTAACTGTTCTAATCTTAACTGTTTAAAAATCTTAAACTGTTCTAATATCCTAAAAATAATCATTAAAAATTCTTTCAGAGTTTAGCATTTGGGGAAATGAATCATGAATGGATTGGAAATGAATGGTTACCTAGTTTAGGATTAGCACAATATAGATCAACTTTTATGGAATGTCTTGTTGATGCTAGAATGTTAGACCACTTAACAAAGCGAGACTTACGTCAGCATTTAAAAATGGTTGATGGTTTTCATAGGTAAAAGCTTTAACTATTTTGATCTTCTTATTTTATTATTATCATAATCTACACAATGTTTACTTTTGCACTTTTAGGACAAGTCTACAATATGGTATAAATTGCTTAAAAAGGTTAAATTATAATAGAGAAGCTTTAGAAGACAGAAGAAAACTTAGTGAGCATGAAATCAAAGGTAATGGTTAAACTTGCCTACCAAGCTGTAAAATGTGCATTTTTTCCCCAGTATAATTGAAATTATCTTTTAAAAATATATAATTTTTTATGCATATGAAGTCTTAAACCTTGCAAACTAGAATTTGCTTAATTGCTCATTTATTTGATCAAGTTTTGTCATTTACAATTTACAGTAGAGCGCCAATTATCTGAATGTTGATTTACCTGATTGTCCAATTATCCGGCTCGTTCAAAGACCGTGTATTTTTTCCCACCTTCTTCTTCAGAAGAAAAAAAGAATATCTGTAAGGGGTCCAAAAAAAAAATCTTTCTTTTTTTTTTCTTTGAAAGATCCTCACGTTCTTTCGGTCCAGTTTCAAAGTGGGTTTCAAGAAGTTTCTAATAAGGGAGCAAGTGAGCAGGTTTCTAATAAAATTAAACCTTTTAAACTTTGTAATATGCTATAATAGGTACTACTGTAATCGCCAATCTTAAGCCTGAAAAAATTATGAAGGAAAGTTACTTAGAAATATTCTCATAACTATTTTTTTTTTAAAGTGCTTATCCAGTTTTTTGGTTATCCTGGTCAGGTTTAATCCAAATAATCAGTGCTCTACTGTATTTGACTAAAAAAAAGTTTTAAATTATCTAAATGTAGTTTTATCTTGTGTTTTGCACTGTTGGAAATTTTTTTTAATCTGTGTTTTATACTCAATAAACTGTGTTCTTATTCTGCATGTATAGCATGAAATTATTATATAATTGTTTAAAAAGAAATTGAAAAAATTTATCTATGTTTGCAATATCCTTGTACCAAATATGAATGTGTAAAAATAATTTTAATCATATTCATTAGAAAAAATTGTATAAAATTATGACTTTGAACTGTCTTTTCACTGTTGAGCTTCTCAATTTATGATTAACTATCTTAAGAATTCTCCATGTGAAGAAAAGATTGTGAAAATGTTGAACAGTTATTCAAAATTTAATTCCTGTTTAAAAAACATTATTTTAGAACAAAATTTTGTGCCATTAAAGTGATTTTAGCATTATTAGTGTGAATAACTTGGAATTTATGTGGAAGAGAGGAAAAGTTTTCTTTAAGACATTATTTTATAACGAAATTATACCTATAAAGGCATTATTTTATGTGCAATGCAGCAGAAAATTGAAACCAATAGCAAATTGTAAACAAAGAAGAAAACAATGAAAAATATAATGATAACAACCGAAGTTGACGTCGTCAGAGGGTAACTGCCCCGGAAGTCATAAAAATAGTGCTAAAACTTTTCTATCCAGAGCACGGCAAATGTAAAGAGAATACAAAAGTAAAATACATAAGCTAATTACAAAAGGGAAAAAAAACTTCAAGAAACCTTCTTAAAAACATATTCCTTAGCCAAAGCCAAAAACACACCACATTCAGAAAATCACAAACCAAACTGAAATTCACAAATAAACATCACACCCCTATTTAGTGTACAGAAAGAAGAAAAAGAGGAAAGTAGGAATGTTGTTGCCATCTATTAGTAAAAAAGCTTAACTCAGCCACTCAGTTAAGTCTCGATCTGAAAGAAAATAAAACTAATAATTTTTAATCATTTAATTAATTTTACCTTCAGTATTGTAAAGATTAAAAGGAAAACCATTACTTTCAAGATAATTTAAAAAATTACTATTAGCCTCTTGAAAGTAAAATTTTGAGTAGCGAATCTAAATTTAGAACAGGGTTAAGAATGAAAAATGAGGTTTTTATTTTATTAGTTAAAAAGGAATCTAAATTGCTTTATTGCTATGGTTTCCAGAAAATATCATTGGCCCATTGAAGGTTTTACAGAATGGAAAACAAGGATTGTTGAAAGTGTGAAAAATAAATTAAACAAATTTTATTTTTATCCTAGTGGTACAGTTATTGATTATGATATGTTTGAGAAAATTTTAAAATAAGCTAATTATTACAGTTATTGATAAAGCTTCTATTAAGCTGTATTATGTGTAAATATTTTTTTTAAAAATTGATTATTAAGGAATATAAATTAAAGGATGACAACAAATTGGTAAAATGATTATTGCTTTTACTAAAAAATTTAAATTGAATCGAATTACTTATCCTTAATTATTTCCAATAGTTAAATTTCATAAAAATCCAGTTAAATTCAGGTTTATAGTACTAATAGTTACAATTTAAAAAATTATTTAATATTCTAAAAATTATTTTACTTAAAATTGAAACTGAGAAAATTATTGTTGTTAATAGTAATATTGATGTTTTGAACTTTATTGAAAAAAAAATTAGGTTTTTAATATTAATACATTTGATTTTGAAAATCTTTATACCAGTATACCTCATGCTCAAATACTCTGTTTGTTGTTGCATTTATGATACATATTTAATTAATAAAAATGTTGATAAAAGTTATTGGATTGATATTTGTAAATCTTTTTGAAGATGTTCTTTTTAATGGTATTGATTTTTAAAAACAGAAAATAGGAATACCATACGGAAATTCTTTTTCAGGAGCTTTTGCTAATATTTTTTTTGAAGCAAAGTTTCTTGAGTTTAATGATTTTATAGCTTTTAAATATTTTGATGATTTAATTGTGAAAATTATGATTTTATTTTTAATATTTTTCCTGAAGTTTGTTTTGAGGAAAACTAATGATAATTGCTTAAATGTTGAATATTTCGATTTTGAAATTAATATTGCTAATAATCAAAATGAAATTGGTGTTTATGATAAAAGGAAAGCTTTTAATTTTAGAGTTATTTTTTTTCTATAATTTTGATTCAAATTTGTGTAGTAATATTTTCAAAAATTTATTTTTTTCTCCACTATCTAGAATTAATAAAATTTGCAATAATGTTGAATACTTTCAAGAGGCTACTCGTAATTTTTTTAAAAGTAATGGTTTTCCTCTTAATTTTTAGAATATTGAAGGTAAGATTGAAGAAATGTTTAAAATTTATTAGTTTTTATTTTCTTTCTTTTAATAAGGGCTAGATCGAGACTTAACTGAGTTGCCCCAGTTAAGCTTTTCTACTAACAGATGGCAACAACTTTCTTGCTTTACTTTTTTTCTTTCTGCGCATCAAGTAGGGACTTGATGTTTCTTTGTGATTTTCTGAATGTGGTGTGCTTTTGGTTTTGGCTAAGGAATATGTTTTTAAGTAGGTTCTTTAAAAATTATTTTTCTTTTGACTTCAGGGCTGATATCCCCTGACTACATCAACTTTGGCTGACATTATTACATTTTTCATTTTTTTTCCCCATATTTTTCATTGTTTTCTTCTTTGTTTAAAATATTTGAGCTGCGTTGTTTTCAGATCTGTTGTCAACTGATAAATTTTTGTTCACTTTAATTAAATGTTCGCTATTTCAGATGTTTTAGTCTGGTCTAATGACAGAGTTATAAAATGGCTTGATAGTATTGGACTTCGAGACTATTCTGCTTATTTAATGGATAGTGGGGTTCATGGATCTGTGATAGCCTTGGATGAAAGTTTTGACCACGCAGCTTTGGGATTGGCACTACAGATACCTACTCAAAATACTCAGGTTTTTACTAGATGAATCTTTATAGTAAATTAAAAATTGAAATGTGAATAAACTATTTAATAAGTGGCAATTTTAAGCTGTGCATATGTGTATAAGATATTTTGCATGTTTTTCCTTTTTTAACTTATTTTATATAATTATCACAAGTTAGTGATTTGCACTGAACTTTCTATGTTTAGCCAGAGTCGAATCCAAATATAAATGAGACTTATATTAATTTTTTAGATAAAAGTTATTAAATTATGAAGTTCTAAAGTAATTTTTTTAATTGTTTGCTTCATGATTGAATATTGTCAATAATTGTAATTATTATTGTCACAACAAATTAGAAAGCATAGATTTATTTTCATTTGTGAAAAAATTTTATTTATATTTAAACGATGATAATGTTTTTATATCTTGAGATTCAAAAATAATATTTGCTAGAATTCAGTTGACAAAATAAAGACATCAATTAATATTTGAAGATCAAGGGAGGGGGAAACAGTTTAAGCTCATAAAAGCTTATTTTGAGAAAACTAATTTCAATGTTAAGATTTTTCAGGTGCAAGCATTTGATTGAAATCATAAAAATAAAAGTACAGTCGAGCTCGGATTTACCGAGGGAAATGAGAATTTTTGGTTGGATCAATGTTAAGTCTATGGAACAGAAGTCGCTTTTAACGAGCAAGACCCGGTTTTAGCGAGCAATATTTTTCTGTCTTGCAACCTTTTTTNATTTTTGAAAATGCGTCTTTCGATATTTAACTAAATATAGTTAAAAAAAATTCCATTTTACTTTTTAAAATTTACTACTAGAGTTGATTTCCTTTATAAGTCTTTTTAGCTGTGAAACATAAGTTCATATATGTTTACTTTTTTATCATTTAAAAAACGTTCCATTGTACGTTGTTCCATTGTACATTCTAAAAGTAGTTAAATTCGCAAGCACGGAGGGTTTTTATACATGGTTCCTATTAACCGAGATTTCCGATATCCAAGGTATTAGCGGTCCCAATTAGCTCGGATAATCGAGGTCTTACTGTATACACAAATGTTACAATTATTTATTTATATCCCCTAACAAACAAACTTTACAATTTTTAATTTTGAAAATCTTGTTGGACAAAAACTGTATTCTTCCTCAAAATTGGTCTCCAGACATTGCTTCCTCACTAATATTCCCATCATCTTTTTCACTATACTTTTATTTTTCTGGTTTGCGTATGGACAGAAACCATTTTTCCCCTGCATGGCCCACCTTCATTGTGCAATAACTCTCAAGGAGAATCAATTTTCCGTTTTATTCATTTGTTAAAACTTAGTAATCTTCAAAATGCAATAAGTGGCAATCCAGTCTTCGTTTGGAATTACTTTCTTAAAAGTGTTCCATCGTTTCAGTTAAGCTATGATAGCCGGGGTTAAAAATATCAAGAGTTGATTGTACTAACTCTGAATAATTTCTAAGATCTAGTAAGCATATTGCTAAAAACATATGTATGTATATATTTATAAACTTTAAGCAGTTCTATTAATTATATATGATGTATAAAGTGATGGCTTATTAACACACTAATTATTCAACAAATAGCAAAATGTTTCGAAGAATTTAAAGGGTTACATGAATTTTGAAATATTTTTTTTCTTTAATATTTCTTAATGTAATAAAAGAATAATTTATTCATCGAAAACATGGTTTCTTAAATATCTTAAACGGGGTTTTTTAAAGATAAAAATAGTGTTTTGTTTTTTTAAATTAAAGATACTCTTTTTCATTTATGTTTGATCATTTTAATCACTTATTATTTCTAGGTTAGGCAAATTTTACAAAGAGAATTCAACAACCTTTTGTTAAAAGGCACTGAAAGAAGACCAGATGAGGTATAATATATTGATTAATTTATGTTTTAAGATTATAGATCTGCTTAAATGTTGGCTGTTATGTGTTTAGCTTATCATTGAAAGCTTTATTTCCTCTACCAATTATAAATATTGTATGCTTGTAAATTTAGCTTATGTTATCAATAATCTTTTCTTTGAGCATTTTAAATGTTTTAACAACTATAGCTCTCATCTTTTTTGATGTTGAATGTTTTCCTGTGGTAGTTTTATGTTTAGAATTTTTTTTAAATAAATAAGAACCTTTCCCTCCTTTTTACAGACCAAACTTCTGTCATTTTAAGTCAACATGGTTGCCAATATTCTTTATTTTAAGTTTTTGCAGTAAAATTATCATATCTTACAATTTGCAATTAGAATGACCTAGAGATTGGAGTTGAATAGTTTCAAACAAGTTCAGTTGGTCTCTTAAGTGTTTGTAGCTTGGTTCAGTATTTCTTAAAAGAATAGATTAAGAAAAATTAAATAATTCTATAAAGTAAATACAAAGAGTATTGAAGCTTAACATTTTTGTTAGAAGTAAATGATAATCATATGGATCCTACAAGTATAATATTTAACAAATCTGAGATTATTGAATTTTTTACATCACTTCTTTTAAATCACTTCTTTCACTCCTTACATCACTTCTTTCAAATCATCACTCAATACATCACTTCTTTCAAATATTACTTCTTTTTTTTTAATAAAATAACTTCTCACTAAAAATTTTAAAATTTTTTATGCAAATGGTGGAAAGTTATTCAGTTAAAAATCCTATGATTCAAAATTTCAATTCTTATTGTTATTAAATTAAATGAGGTGATTACGCTTTGTGAATGTTGACTGCTCTGAACCAACATGAAAAATACGTAATGACTGAATGATCCAAATGTTAAGTTCAATTAATCAAAATCAAGGGTTATGGTACTGATCTATAAATCAAACAGCTGAAGGCCATTAGCCCGTCAGTAACAAAGATGATACTGCTTCCCAAGCAATGAAAGTAACAAGGGAAATAAAATTTTCTTTTGACTAAAAGGGAAAAAATTTGGCAATGGTAGTTGGTCCCCATGATCAGCAAAAATTTTTAAGGGAGAATCAGAGGGCAGGAAATGAAACCTGAAATCGAGAATATCTTACAAAATGCAGCAGGGTTACACGTGGGAGTGCAAGAAACCTTCCCGACCAAAGCCAGCTCAGTGTACGCACGTGCGGACCAACAAGTATTTCATTTGCGGTTGATTTTGTGCATACATGAGTTTTGTTATGCCACACTGTCACATACACCACAGCATATTTGTGCATATTTATTTATCATATTAAAAAATTATTTCTGCAAAAAATTCTATGTGTTGGTTTTAAAAACTATTCTGAAGCAATGTTAGCCAAATTGCCATCAACAAAACCACACAGATTGGTGCTCCAAATTCATTAAAGAATCTTTACATGACGGAAAAGTATATTTTTTCTCTGTACCTGTTGCAACTCTGCTCTGAACTGTACTAAATTGATTTTTTTTTTTAAATTGTTACAGCGTTAATGCGAGTTTACTCTGAAACATGTAGTTTTTTTCCAATATAATTGCTAAATTTGTGTCATTGATTTCTAATTACAATTCAAGAGGGAGAATTTCTGTTGCAAAAGCATAAATATGTTGCTTTGAAAAAGCATAATTGCTGCATCAAGTAGTTCCAAAGAACCAAACAGCCAACCATATCACCCTTACTAAAATCAATAAATAAAATAGTAATTTTATCAACATTCAGAGCGTTGGCAACTGAGAATTTCTGTTGCAAAAGCATAAATATGTTGCTTTGAAAAACCATAATTGCTGCATCAAGTAGTTCTAAAGAACCAAACACCCAACCATATCACCAGTACTAAAATCAATAGTGATTTTATCAACATTCAGAGCATTGGCAACTATGTATTTAAAGTTGTAGTTTGTTTTCATTTCTTTATTGCATGGCTTTGCATCCTTTTCTTATTTCTAGGAAAGACAACTTGCATATTCTTGATATTTAGCCATTACCTCTTTGATGTTGCTGTCTCATTTTGGGCTGCATTTATTGCTGCATGCATATTGTGCCTCAATTCCAATCATTATGTAACAATGTGACGGCACTGTTACCATTTACAGGCGGCCAAACACCCTACCCATACAGTGGCAGTACATCACAGTGTGCAAGGTGATCGCCTTGTTTGAAGAAGAACATAAATAATGATAATTCAAAAACTGTAAAATATATTCTGGTCAACAGTTATTTCGAGCAGCTGGCTGCTATATGTCTAATGCATGTATGTATGTACAAAGGACATTACCGTGTAATCGGACAGAAACACAAGGGCTGTGCAATTTCTACCTAAACGTGTAGAGTGCCGGCATTCAAAGCATGGAGTGATTGTAGATTTTGTTTTTTATTTGTGGTGCCTATCGAAGCTCCAAGATATGCCAAAAGATAAACCAAAGAACACGGCAAAAAGATACCTCTGAAAGTTTTCCAAGTTCCCTTTATGTGATTTTTTATTTATTATTGTATTTGCATGGGAGAAAGAAAAAAAAAACTAAAAATAATTAAGATCGGAATCAAGGGGATGGCAACTACTAAGTTGTTTTCTACCGTAACAATGGAATTTCATTTTCCACTGGGAAAAGTCTTAAGAAAGAGCATTGTTACATATATTGTTATGTCTTATATTTTCTATGTATACTGGACTAACTAAATATTATTTAAATAGTTGTTTTATTGTAAGCATTGAAATTTTAGCATGTGTGTATGTTCCCTATATGAGTTAATTTGTTTTAGTATTCAACAAAACTTGTGATTTCAAGGGTTTCCAATTTTTATACAAAAAAGTTTGTGTGCTTACTCAATTCAACGTTTCTCAATTTTGTATGCACAATAGTTGATTTTAAATTAAATCTAACAATAAATCAATTATGTTTAAATTTTTTTAAAAAGCAACATGATAGTCAATCAGAATGTTTAAAGTGGTAAAATTCTATTTAAATAAATAATTACACAATTAGGTATGGAAATAATTATATTAATGACAGTATCTTATCAGTTTTTCAAATACTTGTCAATTTAGATAGTTGTATTCATTTATATAAACACGAATTTAATGCTCGATAAGATTTAACACCTTAAAAACTATGTTAAACTTTAATTAATCGAACAATGAAAATCTTTTGTCTCCTTCAGACAAAAATATGTATGTTGGCATCCCCTCAACTTGTATGTTACTTAAATTATTTTTAATATGTACTGTATTATACCCTATAATAAAAGCAGCTATATATTAAAGTTAATTATTTCACAAATTTGTGTATCAAATGTGCATATTATTTTTAATGAATCTTTTTCTTACTCATCATCATTATTCTTAAGGAACAAATTGAATACAGCTATTTACTTTAATCTAGGTGTCCCAGTTATGAAAGGTTTTTTTAGATAATTATATCAACATAGTTCACCTTTATTGTAAATATGTTTTACTATTAAAGTTCATTTTAGATGTTATTTGGTCATGCAAAGTAAACAAAACTTAATTTCTTGAGGTTCATTATTTATTTTTACCCCACTCTTTTTTAAAAATTCGCTTTTTTGTTTTTGTCTTAGCAAAACTCATTAATAATTTTGAAATTGTTAAATATTTATAAAATTATTTTTCACTTTGACTTCAGTCAAATAATAAACTGCTAAATTTTATAATTCTAAATAAGTGTTTTTCATTGAAAATACTAAGTACATTTGCTAAAGCTTTATTTTGACTGAATTAGTATTTTCGGAATAAAAGTCAAATGTTCATTTTAGTATTAATTTTTTTTTATTGGCTTTTTTTAACTAATGTTGTATAATAAAATTAGTGAAATCTTATTTTCACTTTTTTTTCTTACAAAAATGCTAAAAACTTGTTTAACCTGCTGCAGTTTTATTTAAGCTTATTGTAATTTGATTTTATGATTTATTAAATTAAATCATACATATAGTTTTATCAAAGATAGAATAATATTTTTTTAAAAAATCTTCTGAAAGAATCAAAGTATGCCTAGCTTAATATGATTTTTTTTAACAATTGTAAATTCATTTTTATTCACAAAACTTACTGCATATTAAAAAGTAAGCATCTATCAAACTTAGCTCAAGAAGCTGGTTAATTACTTTTATTATGTGTGTAAAAACGAAGAAATAAATGACTTTACTCAAAGATTTAAATTACTCTTTAAAGTAAAGAAAGAAAATAAATCATGATAAAATTAAAACACAATATGTAAATATTTTCTGAAAGCTACTGTTTTTTTCCTAATTGTTTCAGTTTTCATATTTCTTCAGTGATGTTTTAATACTTTAAGAATTTTGAAAATTTCAATATGTAATTTTTCAAAAGTTATTTCTAATTGTTTAACTTTGTAATTTTAGCCCATTGACAGTGAATGCTATCAAATTTGTTATAAGAAGTAATTATTTATAGCAAATAATTCTCTTATTCGTCACAAAATATATTTTGCCTTTCTTTTTACTTTATTAGAAAGTCATATTTTCACACATATTAGCCAAATTATTAAATTAGGATATTTAAAGCTTCATACACAAATTACACCACCAGGTGTCTGACATACACATAATGGCAGTCTGTTTGTTTATCATGAGTGATTAAAAGCTTTTTTTGTTTAGTCATAATGGAAAGGTGAAGTATGCAAAACAGATAAAATTAGCTTAAAATGCTTTGTTGGTTAAATTTATATTAATCTGAGCAATTTAGGGAGGAAAAAAAATTCTTTTTTAACAAATTTTTTATTTTTACTGTTATGCTAAAATTAATGCCTCTCAAAAACCTACTTGTTAATAAAAACCTGTTATATTAAAATTGCCATCGTGAAAAAGTGTTTTTTGATATTTTTTTATAGTATGATATATATTTTGATTGTATAAACTGTTCCTGTTATAAACAATTAAATCATAGATATTGTATATTTTTTATATCTGCTTAAAATTTATTTATTGGCTAAGTAATGAAATTCTTCTTTAATTTGCTGTATGAAAAAAAAGCAACTGAAATTGTGCATTTGTGAACAGAAATTTGCAATACTAATTACATATTGAAAATAGTGCAACTGTAAAATATTAAATAAACATTAATGAAATAGTCAATTTTTAAATATGATTTATCATGTTACTAAGTGTGTGATATTAAGCAAACGCTACCCGAATTCTTATCTGCACATTAGATTAACTCTCATTGTAAAAGTTAATTTAAAATGTAATAAATTTTTTCTGTTGCATTTATAGATAGTGGGATGACCAATATCGATGGTTTATTAATTAATAACCCGAATTCTTATCTGCACATTAGATTAACTCTCATTGTAAAAGTTAATTTAAAATGTAATCAATTTTTTCTGTTACATTTATTGATAGTGGGATGACCAATATCGATGATTTATTAATTTAATAACAAGTCGCCAGCTGTATTTGTCTTTTATAATTATATACTGTATATCTATTATATATTGCTTTATATCTAAATTTTATGTCTTGAATAGTTAAACCATGTTGTAGCCAATACAGGAAATTTGCAAAAATATATAGTCCTGAATTTCTAGACTAAAAAAGCGGGCTAATTACAAAATATTTATAAATGAATTAGAAATAAAGATGCTTCATTGGCAGGCATTTTTTTAATGATTTAATTAATATCAAATCCTTTAGCTTTAAAATTTTCTCTGAAAATAATCAAATGTAAAGCGGACCATGACAAGTAGATAACTTTGTACTTGATTTTGATTTTAAACCAACTTTTGTTCATAGCTTGTTATTGATGGATCAAATATTTGCAAAGACCTCTTAATAAACCTCTTCTAAATATGAATAACTTCCAAATATTCCCTATAAATGAATGTACTCAAATGAAACTTGATCATGCTCCTGTATGGAACTTAACATTGTCTTTATTATGGTTTTACATTATTTTATACTCTTGTCAATTTTTATTTTTAAGCATTTTAATGCAATGAGAGGTTATAAATATTTCTTTACTTCAAAAACAAATTTCTCCTCTCTCTTAATACTAAAATTTACTACAAATGAAGATTAGATTATTGTTGTAATTTTAGCTATGTTATGACTACAGCAAACATAGTGACTACAATATAACTATTTTTAGATTAATTTTTCAGTTGCTTATTGTTTTATTCATATAGTAGTAAATTAAATAAGTTGATAGTGTAAATCAAATTATTTTAAATTAATAAGCTTGGAAAAAATAAGCACTAAATATAATCTTCTGTACATTAACAGTTAACCAAGAAAAATGTAATTTAACAGCCATTCTTTTTCTTTTATATATTGATAACACTCTATTTTAGTTATAGCAAATTAATCTACGTTGAATTTTGTTTCAAAATATTGTTTATGTACAACCAGAGGGTTGTAACTCATCTCATAACCAACTATCAAATTCTTATTGTATTGGTTTAATATGTGCATTAAATTTTCATATTTATATTGCATTGTTTTTGAACTGTTGTGATGAACTAATGTGCGATTTTGAAACAGATATACCCACTGCCAAATCTCATATTTAAAAGAGCATTGAAATGCAAAGATTTGAAAGAAACCACACATTCCCCAATTCCCAAGGGATCGAAAAACTCTGTGCTTTTTCTTGTCATTCCCATGTGTTAAAAGTGTTGCACAAACTTCATTTCATGCATATCATGCTCTGTTTGTTGCCTTTATATCTGAAAAGAGAAATAGTAGTTTTAGTAATATTAAAAGTTTGATTGCTGTTAAGAAATTTGCTTTGCACACTTTGCCAATTAATTGTAAGTTGTTTAAGTGTAAAATGAATAATGATATTTATGATGCTGAATCAAAAAAATTTTTATTCCAGCTTTAACTCATTCGAATAAAAGAAAAAATATCAATCTAAATAAAATATAATTTATGGGATTGAATTCATATTTATGTGTGTGTATATATATATAATGTTCAGATCTAGAAAAAGTTAACTAAAATGTATCACTATATTTTTCGAGAAGGGATAAATAATAATAGACTATATTCAAATCAAAAAATCCCTTTTCTCTACAAATGAAGAAATAGCTCCTATTAAAATCTCATATTATTTTTGGGAAATTTTAACTATCGAGATAAATCAGGTATAACAAAGGTTAGCAAATTAGTTAATTTCTTTAACAACTGAATTGTCAATGTTGAAATAAGATTTTCTTTTCCTTTTAACATAACGCAATTTATTTACATGTTTTAATTATAATATTTGTGAATATTAATGTGTTTAGGAAGAAAGACTTAAAATATTTGTTGCATATATATGAAACTTCATTAATAAATTAGAGATTATTTTATGTTAGTATGAAATCGTAATATATAATTCAATTTGTAGTATAATCTTTGCGAAAAATTTTATTCTTGCTGAAGGCCATATAAGTTAAAACTATTTGCAAATTAATTTTTGTAAATATTTCCAAAATAAAAGAAAGAGATTTACATTTGCCACCTAAATTTTCATTCTAGATTCATTGTTATATTTAGATGCAATTTGTAGCTTTCATATCATATTACATTATTAAATGGATATCATTATACATCATGGTGGAACTGTAAACCTCAATAAATGTGAATGGAATTTTAAAATAAATCAAAATAGTTTTAAGCATAAACCTTAACAATAAATGTTATTGCGATTAAGCTAACAGATGAGAAAATTTTACAAAACAAAATAATTATCGTAATAGAAAATACCTAATTTTTATTTATCCTAATGCTTCTAACAAATCATTTATAGATTTCATGTCACTTAAATTGCACAAAATGTCTTATTTAAAACCACGATCGGCAACTAATTAATTTGAAGGAAAAAATTATAACTATAACATTCTTTATATTGTCATTGTTTGTTAAATTCTATGAAACTCAAGGATGAACACACTCGACTCTTTTCAAGCACTTAAGCCTCATTTTATAGAGGGACTACTCTTAATCTTTTAACAACTATGTTAACCACTTAATTTTGACTCTGGGATAAAATAGCTAGTACAGAAAGGCATTCATTATTTAAACTTGATATCCTATAGTTGATAAGTGACTGTAGTTTTGTCATATAACTGTCAAAGTACTCTGAATGTACACTTAATTGGCATTTGTTCAAAGCAAGTTTTTGTCTCGTAGAAGTTGTATGAAAGTTGAATCACCCTCATTCGAGTGAAGAGAGCGCCTATCATCTTATGCTAATTATTTGTATGTATGTTGCGTGATAAGGCTCGCCTTCTTTTCCTAACTAATGACCAAGTGCTTCATCATCACAGTCATCTTTGTTGTACAAATAAGAAAAGAGCCTGTCTCCTTAAAGTGGCAGTGTATTATAGAAAGCAATAGAAGAAATTCACTATAAATTTGTCTTGCCTCCTTATTTCATTAACTTGACATTTTTTGGGCTGTTCACAGGATGGATATAACTGTGTAAATACTTGTATAGTATTTTTTCATGCCATAAAATTTTTTTGCATACATTTAAAAGATCCTAATCAAAGCTGTGTAAAATGGAAGTATTTGAATGTAAGTTAATGAAAGCAATTTAAAACTTCAGTTGTAACCATCTGAATGTTTTTTTATTTTTTCGAAATTTTAGGTGGTTAGTTATTTTATGAAAAGGTTATGCATGACAGTAAAATTTTACCCAAGATTTCTTCGCTTTCAAAGGTTTAAAAAAAATTTCAAAACTAATGAGCAACTTTTTTTAAACAATATGCTATACATATTGTTCTCACTTTATTTGCATAATTAGAAAACTTGGTTATTTAGTTGTTAATTTTGAATTCAATAAATATTTTTACTCAACGGCTATTATTAAAAAAGGACCCAATTTTTAAATATATTTTAACGTTGATAAAGACACATAAGCTAGAAAATATTTTAGCTAGTGCAAGTTTTGATGTACAAATTTATTTTGGAAGCTGCTGCATTATGAAGAAATACTGTACCTGAAAATTAACATAGCAATATTCACATTATTTTGTTCAACCTCTAATAGGTATTTCAAAGAACTAACACAAAACAAAATATAAATTTCTGAACACATGAATGAAATTCTAATATAAAAATTTATGAAATACAGTTCTTCCTTAGTACTTTTATTAAAAATATTTCTAATTATAATCAAAAGTTTAAAACTAAACATTCTTTACCAGTTTTTAAAAAAAAATTTATCTTAAATATAATGCAACTTTCATTATATTATCAATTTCTATGTATACCAATAGACATTTAATTAGTTACTTTAGTTGTCTATTAATATTAAGTAGAGCCTGATGAATCAAATTCATTGAAATTGAATTAATGATAGGAGTGTTGAACAGGAGGAAAATGACATATAAATGAGTAATATCAATAGTTTACAGCACTTTTTTACACAGGAAATATTTTGTTCAACCTCCTTTAGACCATACAAAAAAGAAACTAAAATAATGAAGCTGTAGTATAAAAACTGGTAGAAAAAGATGGAAATATTTACCTAAGGGTTCCCAGTCTCAGACACCGGTAATAGATCTATACACTAGGTTAATTATTTTTAAAAAAATTCCCATGATCAAAAAGTTGAGAACAAGTAATAATGGTTTGCATGATAAAACACCCCTACACCGGAAAATTTCTTCTTTTCCCTTCATTTCATGTCTCGGCACTGATGAAGATAATTTGAAGGTACAAATTATAAAACCAATAATGTTATCTAGAATATTTTAAATCTATATTCAGTCCCCTATTAGCAAACACCAAGGTAAAGACTACCGTTAAATATGAGAAAAACAAAAAATCCATTTCACACCTTCTGTTCAGAATAAGTTTTGATTTAAGATAAATTATAAAAATTTTTTAGCTATGTTAAATATGTATGAATATTATTGTTCAATTATTTTCATTGTTTATGAAGATGAAATCTTCATATTCTAACATTTGGGGGTCAACGTATCTTATGGTGAGACAAAACTGAATTTTTCCAGAAAAAAAAAAATTCTGGAAATTAAATGAATCAAAAAATAACTCTAAAATTTAAACATTTGGAGGAAATGCAGAGCCATATAGCATGCAACACACTGGACTCTTCAAATTATGTGTTTTTTTAATCTACATTAACTGTTAATTTTGTTATAAGATTATAAATTTAATATTCTATAACGTTGGATAGGTTTTTTTTTAATCATATATCCTAACATACAACTTTTAATAACATACAATTTTGCACAAAAATGATTTATTTTAAAATTAAAAATGTTGGACTGGAGAACACTATTTAAGATCAAGATTCTGCATGTTACACAACATTAGTGACCATGACTTCTGGAAAATTATTTTAATACAAAACTGTGCACAATACAAGCTTTTAGAAAATATAAAAGGATTTGCAAAAATGCTCAAGGTTTGCCATGGTAAGCATAGTTAAACAGTACTGAAGTTTAACATGCAAACTATCTTTTTGCTATATGCATGTTTAAATAAGCCAATAGGTTATAATCATTAGTGAAGGAACCATATGATAAATATTATTCATTATAACAAAAAGTTAGACATAAAAGCTGTGTAAAACAGTGTCAAATGTGGAACATACACATCTAGTAGAAAAAATCACAAAACTAGCTACATTGGCAAAATACTTTTTTTATTATTGTTTATTTACAGAACTAAAAGAAAAGTGAAAATTTTTTGATACAATTTTCGTTGAATTTAATATTAAAATTAAAACATAAATTCATACAATAATTGAAGTAACAATTAAATAATAATCAGAATTTTAAAAAAATTTGTAGTCAAAATATTGATGTAAAAAAAATGCAACTTATAAATCTAACAAAATTATTTACCTAAAATTAGTTTAAATCACTTTTATGCACAAGTTTCAGAGAAAAATATCTTAAAAAATTATTAACAAAAAACTTTAATTACAAAAAATCAGAAATAAACAATTTTGAAGTTTTCAGTATTAATTTTTTTATAACTTTTTCTTCTCCACTTTCCTCTAAAATTTTCATAACAGCTTTCCTCTTTTTGAAAATCTTTTTAAGTTTTGCACATTTATCATACTTTTGAGCGGATTGTAATTTAAAATAAATAGTATTATACAGCTCAATCAAAGCTTCTTCAGTTTTCACTGGTTTTATCACCATTGCAGTATTCTTTTTAACCTTTTCCTTTGGCTGATGAAGTAGGCCAAGAAATGTAGCAAATTTTAAGCGAGTTAGATTAATTATATTATCCCTGTCACTCTTTTTTTCACTTTCAGTGACACTTGACTTTTTCAGCACAGATATTTTTCGCCTTGCTTTTAAAAACATTTTATCAATGAGTCTGATTTTTACGGGAGTCACAGCTTGAAGTAACAAGTTTTGTGCAGACAAATCTAGATTTTCCCAAATAACTTTCAGCTCCTTTATGTCTTCGGCTCTTTTTATTCTCTTTAGCAGTACTTTTTGCTGAAAACAAACAGTAAGAAATATGAATAAATAAAATGCTATAAAACAGTGGGTGAGTTTCCTGATATGGTGCTTTTGAAGCTCACTCCAAGATGTTCTGACACTGCCATTCGAAAACAGACAAAAAAATTTTAATCTTAAGACAAGAATGAAGATATTCTATCCTTCTCTTATTGTTATTTTGAAAAAAAAGTTTTACATTAAATTGTTTTGAAAACAAACTTTTTATTTTAATAATAATTATTCAACAAAAAATAAGCACTCAAATAATATTTTTAAGCACTTTAATTAGGTAGGGTTCGAAAGTTTTTGATAATTGACGGTTTTAAGAGTCATGTCAAAAAAAAAAACTTACGGCATTGTTTTCGATAATTGTTAAAATTTTTGAACCATGTAAATCAAATGGCGTTTTCATACGCTACGGACTGATTGGGGTTAAATTAATTGTGAAAACATTGAATAGAACAGTGTCTTTCTGCATAATTCGTAGCAAAATACAACATGCTAAACGAAAAATCTAAATTTGGAAAAGGGAAAATTAAGCACTTTTTAAAAACACCCAATGAAAAAAGCACCTTTAAGGACCTTTAAAAAACGAAAATTGAAAATAAGCACTTTTTAAAAACGCTACGCGTGAAGTAAACGTGAATAAAATAATATGAAATAAATATTTAGAAATTGAGACTTCGATTGGTGCATTTTAAGCAGAAGGGTCAAACCAGATTCAATAAGAATGTTTCTTAAAATCGGGAATGTTTTTAATATTTTATTAAAATTTATTTTATTTATAAAATTAATTAAAATATTGATAAATGATTTATTTTTTCTGGAGTAATGATGCCATGTGTGAAAACTGTGAACTGAATCATTCAAAAAGTCAACAGTAAAAGGATTGTGTACTTTTCAAAAGTTGAAAGAATTAGAATTGAGCTCCAAAAGCTTCATATTGTGGAACTCACACATTGTATAAGTTAATATGCATACACATAAAATATACTAATGATCAACACAAGTGTTACAAAACAAAATTGTTCATTTCTCATAATCACACGGTTAATCTACATTTAGCTAGAACCTTGGCTATGATTTTTTAACTTACAAATCTGATTTCCACAACTGAATTCTTTTACCTGACCTCTATGTTTATTCAGATAACTTAGCATGAATGAGTGGCTTTTTATTTGCTTCATTAAGAACAAACAAAAAGATTGGTCATACATTTTTTAATTTTAAAAATAATGTATATTAATAGTGAAACCTCTAGGGAGCTAATTGCATTCTGTCCAATCAAACCTTCCGTTCCACAGTAAAATTGTCATTGTTAATACAGATTTGGTTAAATACATGGGTCAAATAGAATGGAATTTTTAGTGGGAATTGTTAAAATTTAAAGTGTCATTTCAACTTGGGGCGGGGGGGGGGTCTTATAACCTGTGTTGTCCAGATGAAAAGATCAAAAGATTCTGCTGTCTGAAATATTTCACATGAGCAGTATCATTTTCTTTTTTTTTCTCTACAAAGATAAAGGAAGGTAACAGGAGAATGATTGATATTTTAATAGTGAAATAGCTTAATATTTTTAGCTATTGGTAAGGCAAAAAATTTACACGCTTTAAGATGGTCGAAATATGTATATACATAAAGGGGGTGAACAAAATAACATTTCAATAATAATTCTATAACTTTAGAAGTGTTTAGATAATGTGATTTTTCATACTTATCAATGAAGTTTAAAGCTTTTCTAAAGGCTTGAAGGACCAATAATAAATAACAAATGGAAAATAGTGTTTTAGAAAACCATATGCCAAAAAATGTAGCAATAAATTTGTAAAAAATTTTTTGGTTATTATATGCAATGATTGCACAATATTTCGTAAGCCTAGCTTAAATATTTATGGAAATTTGGACAGTTTAGTAAAAACATTTTTTCTTTTTTTTACTGTAACTAAAATATTCAATAAAATTTAACAAAATTTTTGCATCAAAATTTTAAAAAAAAATTGCTGAAAACTGTGCAATATATAAGTAATTACAGTTGTTCTTTTATATGACGCACACGATGAAAAAAAAGACTTTTTTTTCAAAATTCTGTAGTGAATTATATTTGACAAACAATAAAAAAATCCAATTCGAATATCTTAAAAATTTAAAAAGTTTCAAGCAATTTTCTAAGTAGTCTTTGTACTTTTTAAAAGAAATTCAAAATCACAAGGGGTTTGTTACAAATATTATTTTGTAACACTAGACAAAATTAAATAACAAATGATAATACCTTACTATAAACATTTATACACCGAAATATGATTGAATAAAGAAAGAAAAAATGCGAAAACATACTTTTATGGGGGATGATCCCCAACAATGCTGGAATCATTTTTAATAAATCTAGTTTAATAATGCAAAACAAAATTTGTAGAAAACACCTGATCATTTTGAAATCACACCATATCGTTTTAAAAAGCACGAAATTAGAAAATTGCTTGAAACTTCTTTAATTTTTAAGATATTCAAACCTGACTTTGTTTTATTAGTTGTCAAATATGATTTGCTACAAAATTAAGAAAAAACAAATTTTAATTTGTCTCTTGCATGCACAGTATAGAAAAAACAATTTAATTATTCATATCTTGCACAAATTTTAAAAAACTTTTTTCAAGTTTTAATTTGAAATTACTCTAAAAAATTTTTTTCATTTTATTGAAAATTTTTAAAGTTATAACAAAAAAATCATAAGACAAAAAAATTATTTTTTTTACAAAACTGCCCAAATTTCCATAAATATGCAGATTAGGTTTATGAAATTTTGTGCAATTAGGGGCTGTTCAAAAAGTACGTACATCCCGAAGGGGGGAGGGGATTTGCTATTTTNAGGTCGCCAAAGTGGTCTATATAGACCCCCAGGGGTCTATTTAACATAAGCGGGGGTCGATCTGAGTCAGAGGGTCGAATGGGGGTCGGTGATCCGAACCGGAAGGGTCGATTGGTCGAAGGATTATCAGTATTTTTCAGATATGTGACAATTAGAAATAAAAGAAGACTTGGAAATATATACAGGTAATCTTCAAAAATTGAGCGACGATTTTAAACTGCGTTTTGTTGATTTGGAAAACATTGACATCCCTGATTGGATTATTGTGCCATTTTCTGCTCAAATTGAAAACGTGGACATCAACCTGTAAGATGAGCTTGCTGAATTATTATGGGGATTTGAAGCAAAAATTTAGCAATAAAAATTTTTAGAAATTTAAAAATTTAACAATAGGCAAATTTTGGACAAATATAAATATAATGCAAAAATATGTAAGACTTTACGAAATAGCTCAGCCATTTATGATAGCATTTCCAAGTTCCTATATGGTTGAAGCCGGTTTCAGTCACGTAAATTCAATCTTAACTAAGAACAGAAATAAATTAAATGTGGAGTTTCGAGGGGATTTAAGATTAAAATTGACCAATTTTGAACCCAATATAACGAATCTTGCAGAAAAAAAACACCAGGCACACCCATGTCATTGATTAAGAAGCAATAAATCCGTAGTTACTTTACTTATTATTTCTACTTACTTATAATTACTTATTATTTCATAAATATTGAGGTATTTATATTTCAACATTAATATATTTTTCATAAAACTATTGTTACACTTTGTACTATTACTTTAATAAATGCTCAAAATCATTAAAAAAATGCTCAAACACAGTATCTAATAGAGTTTTATTTTAATTAACAGAAAATTACTTTTATGGGGGTCGATGGAGATTTCGAAAAATTATGTAGGGGTCGATGATCAAAAAAGTTTGGCAACCCCTGAATTAGGGGCTGTTCAAAAAGTACGTACATCCCGAAGGGGGGGAGGGGATTTGCTATTTTGTACGGTTTTGTATGATGGGGAGGGGGGAGGTATTATACAAAGTACGTACATAAAGTTGGGTGTTATTGTTTAAATAATTTAAATTAATAAATTATATTAAATAAATATTTAATTTTATTTAAAACATAATTATTTAAATTTTTATGAAAAAGGGGGTAGACTAATAAAATGTACGTACTATCGGTTATGTACTAAGGGGGGAGGGGGTTAAAATTTCTCAATTTTTGTGTACGTACTTTTTGAACGGCCCCTTATCACATATAATAAACAAAACAATTGTTGCAAATGTATTGCTACAATTTTGGGCATAGGGTGTTCCAAAACTATATTTTCCGACTGTAATTTATTGTTGGTCCCTCAAACCTCTAAAAGCTTTAAAGTTCATTGATAAGTATGAGAAATTGCATAACATAAGCACTTCTAAATTTGTAAAATGATTCTCTAGGTATTTTTTGAGAAAGATCAAAAAATGTGTTAGTATATAAGTGTTTCCATTATTTTGTCCAACTACTGTGTGTATATATACAATGGTGGCCAAAAGTGTGGACATTTTTTGAAATTTTCATGTTTTTCAACTTTGTGTGCATGTAGAATATTTTAATTTTCACTTAAATACAAACGTTTATATATCAAATTGAAGGTAATTTAATGTAGAATTTAATAATAAATACAGTATTACAAAAAAAGTTATGCTCATTTTAGTAGAACAAACAAACACAAATTGTTTTCAATAAGGACGTGTTTTGTAATAAAAGCGTACTAGCCAATCACAAACACTGTTTTTAGGATCAATCAAATGTCTGTAACTATAGTTTAGGTTATTTGGATGGTAAAAGAGTTATTGTTGTGGAAATATTTTGCGGAATGATGCATACTAGTACAATTAAATAGAGTATTGCTGTTTTTAAATATTTAAAGTCCTTTTTTTAAATTAAACTAATTTTAAACAATGTCATCAACAAGAACTAATTGGACATCTACAAAAAGAAGCCGAATTGTCATATTGAGAGAAAATGGCCTCGATATGCTGAAATTGCAAGACAAGTTGGTGGTTCAGTTACCTGTTCTGGTGTACGAAAGTTCTGTTTACGTTATGAAAAAACGAAATCAGTGGAAAATAAAGCCAAATCAGGCCGAAAAAAATTCATAAGTGCTACTGCCGGTAGAAAAATTAAACGGCTATGCCTTCAAGATAGAAAAATTTCATCAGATGCCATTAGATGTGAAATGAATGCAGCGGGTATTGCAGTAAGTTCAAGAACAATAAGAAGAAGGTTATCAGGATTTGGACTACAAGCTAGAATTCCAAGGAAAAAACCCTATTTAAATCAAAAGCAACGCGAAAAATGAATTAAGTGGGGAAATTAACACATTAAATGGTCAGAAAATCAATAGAAGCAAGTAATCTGGAGCGATGAGAGTAAAATATCGCTCTTTGGTAGTGATGGTATAAAATATGTGAGGCGTTGAGTAGGTGAAGCACTTCATCCTGATTGCATTGAAGCAACTACAAATAACCCAACAAATGTCATGATTTGGGAATGTATGTCTGCAGATGGTGTGGACCGAATTCTAGTGATTGATGGCATCCTTAATGCCAAAAAATACATCGAAACTGTCCTGAAACCAAAATTGATACCTTCCATCAGGGATCTCTTCCCCAACAACGCACCATTTATATTTCAGCAGGATTCAGCTCCATGCCACACAGCAAAAGTAAAATAAAGGCATAGATATATTACCATGGCCAAGAAACAGCCCNTGATACCTTCCATCAGGGATCTCTTCCCCAACAACGCACCATTTATTTTTCAGCAGGATTCAGCTCCATGCCACACAGCAAAGGTAAAATAAAGGCATAGATATATTACCATGGCCGAGAAACAGCCCTGATCTCAATCCAATTGAAAATTTGTGGCGACGTTTGAAAATTCTTGTACGAAAAAAATAACTATCCAATAAAAGACAACCTATTGAAGCTATAACTGATTCTTGGCACCATGTGATTACGAAAGATGAACTCCAAACAGTCAGACGCTGTGAAGCTGTCTTAAAAAATAAGGGTTATCCTACTAAGTATTGATTGTGTAAGTATCACTTTAAAAAAATGCAAATCAAAGATAGATCTTACTATCAGTTGCATAACTTTTTTTGTAATACAAAGATTGTAATACTATATTATTAAATTCTACATTAAATTACCTTCAATTTGATATACAAACGCTTGTATTTAAGTGAAAATTTATATATTCTATAAGCACACAAAGTTGAAAAACATGAAACTTTCAAAAAATGTTCACACTTTTGGTCACCACTGTATATATATATATATATATATATATATTCAGTGGAAAAAAAGTGTTTGGTTTAAAGAGAGAGAAAATTTCATTTTTGGGCATAAATGATTGTCCTATTGCAGGAGTGTCCACTTCGTAGAGAGGGAGAGGATACATAAGGTACATTTATATTAATTGAAGAATCATGAAGAATTAAAAAAATGTCTGGAAAAGAAGAGTTCATGTATCACTGTATATATACCAGAGCTCGAAAAACCGAATTCCCCGCGGGCGAAAATTCCCCGCGGACAACAAATTTCTCTAATCCAACGTCCGCGCGGACGGCCATTTTCCCGTTAATGTTCGTGATACATTTTCAATTTTTGTTATCTTACAAGAGTTTAGCTCCTCACTTCTAAAATGACCCTCTAATCTAGAAATACAGCAACATACTGATCATGGTGGAATTAATGTTTTCTCTGTCTGGGAGTATTGCAGCGGTTGAAGGAGGTTTTTCAGCAATGAACTTACAAAAAAAAAACACATTACGTACTGGTCTTAAACAAGAAGCGTTAAACGCAATTATTAACAACTACCTAAATGGAAAACCCCTTCCAGATTTCTGTGCAGAAACCTCTGTTAATCATTGGCTTGATTGTGGAACTGGCAAACGTCATATTTGATTCATTTAGAAAACGCAGTACCCTCGGATAAATTGACATTCCAGATAACTTGACCTTTGTCATTTAAATTATTTCATAAAAGAAATACTAGGTTTTACTATTAGTTACCTAGTATTTCTTTTACTGTATAATGTAATCCTAGTAACTACTAATTCATTGAGGAAATTTATATAAATGTTAGCAATAAATAAGAGAATTATATTTTTATTTATTTAGAAGCTACGGGTTAGTTTCAAAGGAGGACGGGTACATTGTTGGACAAGCCGTCCTCGGGGACGGGTAAAATTTCTGAGTTTTTTCGAGCCCTGATATATACATTACAATAAACTGCTAATAAATTTAAATACTTACAGCTTTTGAAAACTTTTGCTGTTTCTCAGAACTTGCTTGCTGTTCATCCTGTAAATTTAATAATTTTAAAAATTTGAGATATTAAAATAATTATAAATTTTATTAATATCTGAACCACCAATAAAAGTGTAATAAAGAATTTGTAACTTTGCAACAGATAATCATATATTACATTTATAAAATTATTCAAATTATTTTATATGAATTTTAGTATTATATTATATAGAATGTGTTATATTCAGACGACCAATCACCATAATTCAGATACCAATCTGTTTTCTTTGTGCCACCTGAGGAAATTTCAAATGATCAAAATTACATCTAAAAAACAATTTTTTTTAATCACAAAATTTTTTTTTTCCATTATTAACTTACTTATCATTCATTGTTTGGACAAAATTGAAAAAAAAAACCATAATATTTACTAAATGATAATTAAATTGCCTTGAAATGAACTATTTAAATTTTAATTTTAAATTTTTAATTAAATTTTAATAAAAAAAAAATTTTAAATTAAATTTTTTAAAAAAAATTAAATTAAATTTAATTAAATTTTTAATTTTAAATTTTTTAAATAAAAATTAGATTAAATTAAAATAAATTTTTAAAATTAAATTAAATAAATAAATAAATTTTTAAAATTAATTTATATAACGGTTAAATTTTTTTTTAAAATGTCAAAACATTAAATATTTGACAGATTTAACATTAGAAAAAAAAATATGTGAAAAAGCATCATGATAAGATATAATGATTACAAAAGATTCATACCTTTTTAATTTGCTATTTGCAAAAAGAATGGCAAATACCTAGGCAATTATATTTTGTAAAAATACCCTAAATAACATTAAAAAAACTGCCTTGACTTTTGTCACCTTTGCAAAATCAATGACCCTAAAAATCACAAACTTATCACTTGTACATATTTTAATAAGGAATTAAGAGTAATTCCCTTAAGTTGGCCTTTTGTTTGAAATAAATAATAAAAATTTGAAAATAAAATGTTTTTAATTTGTATCCAACAAGTTAAATGATCCTCTGCAGAGTGATCCTCTGCAGAGTAACACTGATTTAAAATTCATTACCTAAGGTTGAATTCTTTAAGGATTGCACAGAATGCAATTAGTGCAGGATTTGAAATCTGCTTAATAGTGTCCTAAAAAATAGTACACTCTCTACATTGATCAAAAAGTATTTTTAACTAATCTGACACAAATAAAAATTGAAAGAAGGATCACTAGGACAACTCGAGTTTGTGAGACTTACATTAAACTTCTTGCAAACACAAAATCTCAATCAAAAAATTTTATGCAAGCAATTCATTGACTACTTTCTACATTTTCCTCATGATCGAATTGTGATGAAATTTGTTCAAAAATCAGAGTTTTTTAAAAGTGTTTAAATTTTTATAAAACTGATTATTAAACATACCAGCTTTCTTTTAATTTAGCAGGGAGGGTTTTATATAAAAAAAATCAGTTATTGACCTATCTATCTTAATTATCTGTGTTTGAAATTTTAATTTTTCTTTTTTTTTAAAAAAAAAGAAAATACTAAAAAGTAAAGATATTACAGGATTGTGAAAAATATTCAACAAACGGCATTCATGTATATAGTTCACACAATTCCCTAAGGTGGAAACGGTTTATAAATTTTTGGCGCTAGAATTCATTCTATACTTCGATGCTATTTTAGACAAACACAATTTTAACTTGAATACTTACAGATGAAGTTGATTGAGCTGTTTCGATATCTTCCATGATACTCGATTGCGGAGGTTCTAAAATTTCTACTTCAGATCTTTCAACTAGCTCTAAAATAAAAAATGATAATTATACATTGAAATAAATTTAAATCAAACAAGTATATTTATTATTTTTACAATATAAAAAATTATATCATGAAGTCCAGCTGAAAAAAAAGAATAATCAGTGATACCATTCAGGCATCGAATATGTAACTAAAAATTATTGAGAATTATTATTTGATTATTTATTTTTTAATGGATTCATTTCATATTATTTGTTGTTATTCTTAAATTATGCTAAAGCTGATATTTCATATTTAAATTTATCAACATGCAATTAATATACAAATTATTCCGATTTCAGTGATACTTGTTTGATACTATCTTTGGCATATTCTTATTTTAAATGATTTAATCAGCATTATGTCTTAGTACATATCAAAAATAATAGAGGGTGTTTTGTTATCTTTTGAAAAGATTAGTTAAATTTGGTGTTTTAAGGCAATTGATACACAATTTTGTTTTTAATTCTTTATGAAAAAGTTACTCAATCAATTAATGATCACATTTTTTCGTTTAAAAAAATTGTATTTTTAAAATTAAATTTCTCAGGAATTATTCGACCAATTTCGCTGAACTTTAGTATTTTGCCACTTAAAATTATATATACTTTTTTCTTACTGGCCTTTTTTTTTCAGTTTTCTTCAAGAATACTAAAATATAAAAAATTATAAAATTTTTCAATAATTTTATAGATATAAAATTTAGACTTGTATAAATAGACTTTTGGAGAGGGTGGCTGAGAAATATTTCTGGTAGCAGTAAAAAAGGTTTCAAGAATATTGCAATAAAAGGGCCCCATATCTTCTATGAGTCTTGCATAATTCCAAAAATTAGAAATTTGCCTACAAATAAGATTTATAAATACAATAAGAAATAAGAAAAAGATTTATACATACTTCAGGAATGGGTAATTGCAAAGCTTAGTGTCATCATAACCTATCAATTCATTTTATGGCCACAGTTAATTGTTTTTTTTATTTATTTATAAGTATTAATAAAACTATGCTAATTGTTTCTATTTTGGAAAATAGTTTTAAGATTATAACTGCTTTAAAAATATGAGACAAAAGGTTTAGTGAAGAAAAAGACTCATAAACTAGACATCCTGTATACAAAAAAGGATATATTATTTATTTTTAATTAAAAAAACAACTTGAATTTGTATCTAAAAGTAATACTTTTGCAAAGTTTATTAAAAAAATTTCCAAAATACTTATAACAGCAGGTTATAGGCTTATGGAGGCAAGAAAAAGACTGCTTCATTAAAGAAAATTTACAAATTATAAATATAGTTAAAAAAAATATACCAATTTGGAACTAGTGCAATTTTGGAAGTCTACACATTAAAACATTTTATCAGAATATATTAAGTACATACAATTTTTTGATCTAAGGCAATAAAAATCTTAAATTTATAAGGGGTTTTTTATAATAACAATACCTCCATGATCATCAGCATTTTCAAGAATCATACTAGCTTCATTGACTGGTTCAGAATAGCCATTTTGATCACCTTTACCAGAAAGTAAATTTCAGTCAAATATTGTAGGCAGAAAATCCAATAAAAATCTTAAATTTATAAGAGATTTTTTTATAATAACAATACCTCCATGATCATCAGCATTTTCAAGAATCATACTATCTTCATTGACTGGTTCAGAATAGCCATTTTGATCACCTTTACCAGAAAGTAAATTTTTGTCAAATATTGTAGTTAGAAAATCCAGTTCTTCTTTGGGCAAATGTCTTGGCCTTAAATAAATTAAAAATATTTTTTATATGAAATATGTCAAATCGTTTTACAATGAATTACACTATTTTCTACATGTTTGAAGAAAGGCATTGAAAAAGAATGAGTAGTAAAACTTACTTCACATATTCAGAATCTTCAAGATTGATCCATGATTCTAAATCTTCGGGCAGTTCTAAAGGTTTAGACTAAGAAATAAAAAAGAAAATTGAAAGCTATGAATAAATTAAATTTATAAATAAAAAGATATAATTATTCATTGATTAACATCAATGAACAAAAATCCTTTCTAACGAGCCCTGTAGCAGAATTTTTTCGAGCTATCTGCGACTAATCTCTTTAGCACAAATATCTTTTCTGCAAGATGCTTTTAATTATAACAAACATGTATGTTACTAATTGTAAGTAACAAATACGCTGTGTTTACAAAAAAGACTATATAACTTTTTTAAATTGAATAATTTTTTTATTTTAATATTATGGATATTGTCACATTTTGTTGGGAGAAAAACGCACAAATTATTTGTGAGCTTTTCCAATTTATTAAATTATGTAAATAATCATCACAATAAAAAAAAACAATTAAAAATCATGAAATCCATGGTTGTAATAGCTGAAAAAAAGATCCGACGCCGAAATCGCGCAAATCGGACTCCTAAAACGCGTGTTTCGTTTCAAGATTAGGCTGTTGTAACAAATAATGTCGTATAAAAAATATCGGATTGAAAAACTATGGAGAAATCAATAGCAATAACAGTAAAAAATTCGACAGAATTATAGCCTTAAAAAGTACTCAAATGCACGATTCGAATTTTCCATATTGTTTGAAATATATCGGGATATTTAAAATTAACGTGAAAATCAATATCAATAACTGCCGAAAATACAATCGAAAAATTACATCGATTTACGATACTATCGATATAAATTGAGCATGTCAAAAAGTGATTATTTAAGTGCATGATTCAAATATGTGTAAATTTTTGTAGAAAAGAAAACTGAAAATTTTTACTTTTACAAAGAAAAATCTTTTTGCAAGAACTCTGTAACGTTCTGCGACAATGTCGCCGTGTCGCTGCTATTCTGCCACGGGGCTAACGAGCAGTGTTCTTACGACAGAACCTTTTCTTACTCATCTATCAAAACTCCCTAATAGATACAACTTGCCCATCAAAAAAAAAAAATAATAAAAATATGTATAACCATTATATTCAAGGATAAACAGTAATAAAGACACTGTTTGTAACAATAAATTTGAAAAAGTAGCCTTGGGTCCCACTTGAATTACTACATTTATAATGTATTTTTACTTAATTAATAATGATAATTATTTTTAAAATGCCACTAAAATTTTGTAACTTTTAAGATAAAACTAAAACTAAACTAAAACTTATAAGATATTTTTAAACTGGGGCTATTGTCCTTTCCTGAAAGGTTATAGGTTCCTAATTAGCCATTATTACAAAAAGATTGAGGAAAAAAGCAAGTATAACTCAAATGTGCAGATGTACGTTGTATGAACCTACTGTTCCTTATTTGCTCATATATATGAATTTCAGTATTTTGAATTATGCATTCCTTTTATGAAGTTTGTTTTTAATAAGTTTATGCCTCAATTGTAAAAGTATCACTGACAACTGAATAAATAAAAACTAAAATTCAGGAATTGATTTAATGAAGAACTAAAACAAATATGCTGCTAAAAAGTATGTCATTAATAGCTACTCATTAGAAATAAGGAAAAGGTTTAAAGATTCCAGTACAAAAATGTAAACTGAACAGCAAGTAAAACAATTTAAAAGTGTTATAAATAAATAAAGTGTTAATTTCTTTATAATTATTACAATTTATGGTGTGTTTCCTAAACATGCAACTGTTTCTTGACTATATTATTGCAATTGGTAAGATATGCTAAAAAAAATATTGTATTAAGTAAATTAGTTGGTAATAAAAACAAACATATTGCTTCAAATTTAATAAACATTTAAGCTGAAATTAAATACACAATTATTCTTTGGAATGCACCCTGTTAGCATTTATCAGTATAATAGATTTAAAAGCTAAAAAGTTGCTATAGTCAAGTTCTGAGATAAAAAAAAAATTATAAAGCAAAAAAAAAAACTTTTATTTGTTATACAGATATTACTTTTAAAACATTCACTATTACGCAATTAATTAATTTTAAACAGATAGGTTAACAAGATTTTACAGTCAAATTCAGGACAAAAAAATTTAATACAATCAGAGAAATCACAACATGTGGCTCATATTCATTATACTGACATTACCATTAAAGCATTTAACATTGTTTTAATCTCCATTTTTAAATTCATAAATTATGTAGTTTTTACAGTCAAATTTAGGGATATGCAATCAGAGAATTGTGATGCAATAATTCATATTTAATGTACTGATGCTACCCTTACAGCATTTGTCATCATGCTAATCTCTATTTTTAAATTCAGAAACTAAATAGTTTTTGTAGTCGAATTTAGGGACATAGAATCTGGAGCAACTAGAGAAATTGCATTGTGATAACTCATATTTATTGTATTGATATTATCTTCATATTAAGCATTCATAAATATGTCATTACTTTTTTAATTCAGAAACTAAATATATTCCAAATTCTAAAGAATTTGACACAACCAGAGAAATCACATTGCAATAACTCATATTTATATAGTGGTATTGCCAATTGCAACATTTACCAACAAAATAATTGCGATAAAATTGAACTTTCAAAAAAATTATATCAATTTATTCTAAATTATCAAATACAACATCTAAAAGACATAATGTTGACTTAAAAGATAAAAATCTTTACCCATTCCCATCCTCCTTGTTTCAACTTTTGTCTCCATGCATAGATTTTCTTATAAGCACTATAAATTTGCACTAGCAAGCCTCTGAATACAATGCTAAAAATTAAAATAATGATCAGGTTTGAACAATAGCTAAATTATTTAAACTTTTGCAAAAAAATAATACTTTTTTATATTGGCTAGGAGCCTATCCTCATTAACCCCTAGGAGCCGATCCTCATTAACCCCTATAATTGCTTCTCAATTTATCACTGATTTTTTTTCTTAAATTTTTTACAAAAACATACAACATTTTGCTTTCAAAATATACAATTAACTAGAATTGAAAAATAATAATCTGTAATTGAAATAAAAAAAAGTTAACCTAAAGAATAGAGATTGTGGGATTAAATAAATAGAAATAAATGAGAAGTAATTATTTTACTTGTTAACAAGACTTATAAAAATTCAAATAAGAAACATTTTTTATCGCTTTATATTAACTTTGCTATCTCTATATTAATTTTATTGCTCCAAATTTATTTTTTAAAATTTCTCAATAAATATTACAATTTATACCTCTCTCTCTGTAATCTCTCTTTCTTTTTTTACAACTTTAAATTGACACTTACACGATATTGACTTTAAAAAATAAAGGAAAAATAAATTTTCTAGAACAATGGATAAATAGTCATGTTTAATACAAAAGAGGAGTTAAATATCGAATAACTTTCGAATAAATTAAAATTTCGAATCAAAATTGTTCTAAGTTTTAAAAAAATAGGGTTATTCAGCTCGTCAAATTTTTATTTTGTAGTGGCATTGCAGCAGGCTACAAATTGATGAAGCATGGTATTTTTTTTTCCTATAAGTATAAAAGTAAATTATTCTCAAACTAATTCCCAAATTTATAATTATTTTTAATTTTGTCGCGCTCCCAATACTTTTTCTACATACCTTCCTGATGTCAAATTTCTAAGCTTCATAGATTTTGTGCAGCAAAGCAAAATGTAATGCAAAGCAAAAAAACAAAAGTTTAAAAAATTCGAAAAAAAGCACTTAATATTGCAATAATTGTTCGTTTGTTTTTTTCCAATTAGGTATTTTTTCCTACGAGCTTGACAGTTAATAATTTTTGAATTAGCTATATTAAATAATATATTAATTTTTATCTATAAAATTGAGTCATACAGCAATTACAAAAGAAAAGAAAAATACAACACCATAATGCTGTAGGACAGCATTTTATAGAATTAAGCATCTCCAGATATAATTATAATAAAAAGTTTTTATTCAATATAAGTTTGTTAATAAATTAATTTTATGATATACATATATATAGGGTTCACGCCAGTAGGATGATATGGCGACAATTGTCGCCAAATGTTTCACAAACATCGCTAAAATTATACGCAAGGGAGACAAATTTGTAGTCTTGAAATTTTGCAATTTACAAAATAGGAACGGAAAATAGTTTTCTTGCATAGAATTCAATGCATTTAAACAATATTTGTTGTACCAATTTTATTACTCTATGCATGGAATGAAATTCAAATGCCTGGTATACAAATGGAATAATAGAAAGTGTCTGTTGAAAAATTTTTACATTTAAATGTTGGGCTGTGTTTCGCATTCATGTACTGGCAGTAAAATTGCTCATAATAAAATAATATTTTTTGCTCTTTTAGATTCACTTTATTTAAAATTTTATAATTTTTTGACATTTAATTTGTAGTATAATGTTTTGTTAGTTCTTACTTTTGTTGTTTTCTTCATTTATTTGGTCTCAGCATTTTAATCCTTATATTGAATCTATTTACTAACATTATTTTAGCCTTTTTACACTTTATTTTAATAACTACCAATATTCGATCATTATGGGCTAATGAACCTAATTAGTTTTAGAGTGTTATGGATGACAATAAATAATTTTTAATGTGTACCATAACATGAATCATGTAATTTTACAGTTCAATTTTATTCAAGTTTGTCTACCATATCAGTTTTTGGACCACTAAATTTTCATTGCTGGTACGAACCCTACACACACATACNAAATATATACAGGGTGATTCTAAAAAGATGGGCAAAATTTTAGGAAGTGATAGTACACAAACAATTTTTATCAAAGAATGCATGGTCGAAAACAAAACCCAAAGGTGCTGCTCATTTGGAAAGTTGCTTGATGCAAACGTGAAAGATCCATTCCTGTTGCAAGTTACTGCGCTGCGTTACTTGTCGACAAGCTTTCAGCCGCTGCAGGGAAAGTTCGTGATATGCCTGTGTGTTTCAGAATGTTCGCCTATCTTTTCTTCACCATTGTACTGCGTGCATAGCCTTTGCCGGCCACTGAACACTTTTTGTAATCACATTAAATTTGCTTTTATAACTTAACTTCATCGTTCTTTGTGTGTTTTTGACATAACATAAACTTTGGCGCCCTCTAGCGGTTTCGCGTTTTGTTTTTGACCATGCATTCTTTGATAAAAATTGTTTGTTTGGGTGTGTACTATCACTTCCTAAAATTTTGCCCATCTTTTTAAAATCACCCTGTATATATCTTTCTCTAACTCCTTTCAGTCATTATAACAGTTACTAATTTAGGCTTTTTAAATTATGCAATTTTATAATTAATATTTTCCTTTTTAACGAATTTTTGCAAAAGCGAATTTTTGTTCTTTATTTCCATTGAAAATAGAAGGATTTTTTCAATAAAAAAAAGGAGAAAAATAGCTTTCAAAAGTTACAATTAAATCTAGGCTTAACATTGGATTTTGTCAAAGTGATCTGCGGCATATTAACTTATTTGTATTATATTTTTCTATGTTATTCTATTTCTTCTTTTTAATTTAATTACTTTATTTTATTTAGTGTTCCTTCTTTAAATTTTGGACTCAAGATTCTTTTGTGATATTTTTCAATAAATTTCAGAATATTTATGCCTGTTCTTACACTTTTGAGTACTGATCTCCTTTAATTTTTTTCACCAGATTTAATCTTTCTTATTCCTTTTTTTGCCTTGCATGTTAATTTTTTCATCGTTTTTTCCTCTTTGCTTCTTCTCTGATGTTGTTTTTGTAACTGGGTCTCATCCCTTGCCGTAAAGACTGCCTTTGACCCTGATTAGCTTTTTTAATGAGTACATTACTGGCAGGTCTTCAGCTTAGTTCAAGGTGTACCTCTTTTTTAACTATTTGATTTTTTAGGATGCTTTAGAAAACATTTTTATCCGCCATTGTTGTGGCGTTCTTCAGCATATGTTGCCAAAGCGGTTTGAACGCCTTCATCTTGCCCCAAAATCTTTCTTCCACAATTTTAAAAATTTCAAAACACACATCAACTACAACTCAATTCATATCTTGGCAACCATTCATTACAATAACTTCACAAAAAAAAACTGGATACATCTGCAAGAAGTACATAGGTGGGACATTGTTTGCTATCATCAACTAATACTTAATTTTCCCCTTATAATTCAACCTCTCTTTTAATACAATTGTAATAACACTCTCACACACATCTCAAAGATTGTAACGTAAAAAATTTAATAAAACATACCTGCTTTATGTAATAAGCCATTTTCTTCAGTAAATGTAAAAATATTTAATTTAAAACCTACTCATTTAGACAATTAATCAACCATGTTTTTAACAAAACGAAGTGAATAGAATAAAGCATTATCATAATTATGTAAGCAAATTATGCATTGGGCAAAATAAGAATTATTAACGAATTTCATATTTAACTTTTTCTCAAAAATAAATATAAAAAAAATTATAAAAAATAAAATACTTACTTTAGTCTAGCTGTGACTGAAGTAGCCATCATTAAATTTATGATTAAGTGGCCTACTTTTAATCTTTGAATCAAATAACTTTTAAAAAAATTTAAGGTAAAAAGAACTATTTTTAGTAAATTAGTATTAGATAAATATATATATATAACGTGACAAGGATATTTTAAAACAGTATAAAGACAAATATGAATCAACAACAATTACAAATGCAGTACAAAGCTTTGAGCATTATTTAAAGAAGTGCAAACTGTTTAAATTTTTAAAAAAACACTTAAAATACAAACTATGTATAACAAGGAGATTTCAATAATTAGATTAAAAAAAATACTACATAAAACACCATTTGCCGAGTTTTAAAATAGCAGTAATCTTTAAAAAGGCACAATTTGTGAACATTAAATTAAGTATTAATTTGAATTAATTTACAAGAAATAATATATTTTCTACCTTTCTTAAAGAGAAAATGTTTCAAACATTAATATTTAAAGGAACTTCATACCACTTAATTTTGAAAAATTCTGATATAATATACTTACCTGTTTCTTTTCTTTAACTAATGTATTTTAAACATTTAACTCCAACTCAATTGAAATTTAAAAATTTTATTGAAATTAAATTAACTACAGAAATACAATGAATCAATTAAAGTCAAATATTTGGTCTATAATTAATTTATTCCTCCCCTAAAAACATAGAAATCCTCAATAAAATTTTAAACCAAGTCAGACTTTTATAACAGAATTAAAATACTACAACCTTTATTAGATTATATACAGCCTTTAGTAAGCTTTATTCTGTCACAAAAGTTTAAATAATAACATTTATAATTGCAGTTGCACAATTTTATGTTTATTATATTACGTAAACCGCAAAGTAATGTTGATTCGGTGCTTTAAATATTCATTAATCTTAAAAGGAAATTTAAATTTTTCAATCCATTTCTGTTCCGGCATTGAAAGGTAGTTGCTAACGAGGGTGAGTACATTATTGATTAAAAATAAAATCTTGATAATAAATATCAAATGCACTGAAACATTACTTTAAGGTCCACCTAATAAGGTGATAAATCAAGTTTAAATCATAGGATTTATTTTATTTATCTTTTTTTTTTAAAAATAAAAGCAAATTATTTTTTAAATATCCCATTTAAAAAATAATAAATTGGAATTGAGAGATCATGGTAAACAAAAATGTTGCAAATTTGCAAAATTTAGCAGAAATATTTATACTATCATACTTAGTCAAATATTACTTTAATTATAAAAAACAATTACACATAATTTCTTTCAGTAACAACATGAAGAACATAATTTTTTATTAGTTATTATACTAATTTTTTTCAAAAAAACAATATCAAAAGGATACCAGAATGTTTCTCTTGAATAGTGCAAAGATTCACATATAAGTTTAGCAGCTGATTGTGTTCGAATAAGTACAAACTCTAATTGTTGACGGGATGGCAGAAAATAAGTTGCATCTTTCTTACTTTGAATTTCACTGACAATAAAAAAATACTAAATAATTTAACATAATACAATTGGTATAACTTATGCTTTGAAATATTAAAAGACAACCCCTATAGAGCTGGCTTTCATTTTAATGCAAAATGGCACTTTTTCCAGTAATTTAATAACAAAATGACACACAGAAGATAAATGCCTAGACACTTAGAGTGCCTTGTTGCACAATGAATTAATCTATTTAATATACAGCTTATATACAAAATCAAGATTATAAAATAACCATCTTTCACACACGTGCATATTTATATTTGAAATTATATATGTATAAAGTATTATAGATATATAAATAAAATATTTAAAACATATGTAATATTTATGTACATTCATTGAATATAAAATGTAATGTGCATAGAATTTAAATATATTTGTAACATAACGTCATGTTTGACAAGTCATTATATTACATTGTATATATTTGAAGGATGAAATTTTGTCAGTGATGTAATTATTTAAACAAAAGTATCACTTTTTTTTAATAAACTTTTTTAATTCATTATTATAAAGGAGCAGGCTGTCAGTTCTATGAGACTTGTAAAAAATTATTTTTAGTTAAAAACTAGCCTAAAACTAACTGAAACCATTATTTAATATGCAATAATAATAAGATATCTAATATAATAATATATCTTATACATATCCATGATGCGTGTAAGATANTTCAAGTGTGTATTGATTTTAGTCATAATAATAATTATTGAATGACCTTTAAATTCATTGTTAATTCAAGTTTCATTTAGTAATTATCAATACTAAGCATGCTTTAAACATTTCTCCTTTCAGTGATCTTATTTTGTAGGCAAAATGATAATAAATGTTTAATATTAATTTTTTTTAAAGTCGAGAAGTGTTCGTTAGAATTCGTTTTGTTCATTATCCGAATATGTGTTCGTTGTCCGACGGAAAATTTTTCCTGAAAGTGTTCGTTATCCGAACACAAAAATCTTTCGTTAAAGTGTTCGTTAACCGATTTGTTCGTTAACCGATCTGTTCGTTAACCGATCACCCACTGTATACAAAATCAAGATTATAAAATAACCATCTTTCACACACGTGCATATTTATATTTGAAGTTATATATGTATAAAGTATTATAGATATGTATATAAAATATTTAAAACATATGTAATATTTATGCACATTCATTGAATATAAAATGTAATGTGCATTGAATTTAAATATATTTATAACATAACGTCATGTTTGACAAGTCATTATATGACATTGTATATATTTGAAGGATGAAATTTTGTCAGTGAGGTAATTATTTAAACAAAAGTATCACTTTTTTTAAATAAACTTTTTTAATTCATTATTGTACAGGGGCAGGCTGTCAGTTCTATGAGACTTGTAAAAAATTATTTTTAGTTAAAAACTAGCCTAAAACTAACTGAAACCATTATTTAATATGCAATAATAATAAGATATCTAATATAATAATATATCTTATACATATCCATGATGCGTGTAAGATATCAGAATTTACTCTAACACATATCCATGATGTATGCAAGAGTCAGTTCATATTAATAACAGATAAAAAATAAAAAAGGGCATAAAAAAGGGTGCTTTTTCAAAAAGAAGGGCACTATCAGTTTGAAGGGCACTCATCATGAAAATAATAACAATTACAATTAGCTAGATTAACGTACTTCAAAATGGAATTTAAAATCTGAAATAAATATGAGAAATAATATTTTATACATATTAACTTAGTCTAAAAATAATTTGCAGTAGTTAAGGTAATCTGAAGATTCTGGTTTCTGCTACCAGTTTCTTTTCTTAAAATAGAGCCTTTCTTTTTCTTAAAAAAGAGGGGACAATAATTTTACAAAAAGGGCAAGGATGGCGCATTTACCCCCGTAAAAAGGCAGGCAGGGTGGACCACCCTTCTAAAAACACTTAGGAAGAACACTGTTAATAACAATGAAAATATTAATCAAACAGAATTAAACTGATGTCTTAGCAAAGTAAAAATGCACACTTTTTAAGCATGTTTCATTCAAATGAATGATAATTAACTTAATATCAAATTTAAGGGTGATGCATAGCAAATCGTAGAATCTTGAGAAATATAAAACTTTGATACAATTTTTATGCATTAAAATATTTTTATATCTAACTTTTTTATTTGTCTTACAATTCAAAGATTTATTACAATCAACAAAAAATTTTACTGAAATACAAAATATTATATTAATAGTATAAACTTGGTAGCTTTGTAATTTTTAATCTAACAAAGAGAAGAAGGAAATTCCTGGATCAAGCATTAGGACAAACAAGCCTTCGATAAGGACTTTTTGATGGAACAAACCCTAATTTGCATCACATGGAGAGAAAATCAACGAAAACCTCCCATAGTTAATCTGAAAGAAAAGAGAATTCTGACCAATGATCCGTCTATTGCTGAGGATATTTCTATGCCAGCATCGTAAATGGTATAATCAGCGAGCAAAATTTATATCGACCAACCACCGCTGGGATTCACACCTCGACCACCCCATTCGGAGGTAGGCGCTCAATTTGTAATATTTTTTTTAAATATAAAACTGATTATTCCAGAAGAATTTTATTAAAAATATTACAAATGAAAAATGCTGACACAATGAAATGTTAGATACAGTTTTTTTTTACTTACATTATAAGTTTATCAGCCATATCTAGATAAACTGAAGATAGATCCAACAATACCATCTTTCTTAGGCAAGTGCTAACCTATCAATAAACCATGATTACATAAACGATTGAAAATTAAATAATGAAGCATTTACAAACAAATAAATCATTTGAATAACTATTGGTTATCAAATTATTATCCATTGAGAAGAAAATATTAGCACATACTCTTTGAAGATATTGCAAGCACTTATCGCAATGTAAGATTCTTTTGTATTTTGTTTGAAGATTTCTATATATCTTGACTTCTTCCCATATTGGATGCTCTGTAGTTAATATCTCTGCTGATGATGTTAATATGCTTATTAAGTCAGGCAGACTATCTATTTTTAAAGGAAAAACACATAAAAACATAATTTTATTTCCTTGTATAAATGCAAGAACAAACACAAAAATTTTATGTATTTGGTTAAAATAGGCTGGTTCCAAATTAAGTCACTCTCTACAATCAAAATCTAGCTTTAAAATAATGGGCAAAAAATCACATCCATTGAGCCACTGGCATATTATCAAGCTTAAATTATTGCTATAGTTTTCTAAACAATTTTAAAAACTTAATTCCTTTCGTTTTAAATATTAACTTTGTGCAACAAATGAGAAGTAATTTTTTGAATAATCTAACGTGGATCAGAGACTGCCATCTCTGGCAGGTGTGCTAACCACAGCAGCAGCTCAATGAATAAAAATAGCATTAAGACATCAGAAATAATATTGAAGATATCAGACAAACGAAACAGAAGTAGACTTCTAACAAGGCCAAGAAATACATTTAAAATCTTTTATTTTTGAAAGATTTTTTTTCTTCTCACAGAATCATATTCAAAATGATGCCTTTCTCGGGCATCAGAGAGGAAAGAACTGCTCATGATTTCTCTTTTTTTTTTTTTAAATAATAAAAAATGATAAATAATGGAGTAAAAAAATTTTGTTAATCTTTTCTGCAGAAATTTTCAACAGATTTTTTTTTTTTACAGAATTATGCATATAAAAAGATGTCTTTCTCTAGCATCAGAAGGGGAAGAAATACTCCTGAGTTTTCTATTCTTATTTGAGAATAAAAATTTTTACTATGAATGGCTTCAGCTAGAATTTCAATTTTATAATATGAAAAATCAAAAATCACACTCAATTGGCATGCTCAATTTATGCTGATAGTATTGTAAATCCATGTATTGTTCTGATTGGTATTTTTTTTTTTTTTTT